AATGCCGCAATGTTAAATGCATATGCTAATGAACACAACTTTCACTGGGACAGTTATCTGCCATATGTAATGATGGCATTCCGAGCATCAGTTTATGAAACCAAAAATGGTTTCACACAAAATTACTAGTATATAATGCTCAGAGAGAGATATCTACGACTCTTGACATAATGTTTCAAATGTCAATAGCAGTAAACTCTATGCACAAAAATAAATGGACTTGGCAAGTCAAGGAAAAAAATAGAAGAAGCCCAAAATATGTCAGAGAGACAGACAGTGATGGTCCACCAAAAGAAATACTAGTAGCGTGATCAGAAGCTCTCGTGGCAAAAATTTAGTAAATGAGATAGGTATAAGTCTATTTTCCTTTGCGGAAAGTTTGTCTCCAAAGTACACAAGCTACGGGAGATGTCTGTATGAAATTATGGACAAAATAACTGATATTACATTCAAAGTGATCTGCAGTCCACGTGGAAAAGCACAAGTTGTATACGTAGATAGACTCAGGTTGAAGCGCGACTAAATTTTCCGAAACGAGGAAGAGATTCCTCTAGAGAATACAAATGCTAGTACTGCTGGAAACGAGGAGACGGAGATAAAACATCTATAAAGCGAGGTTGACATTAACACTGAGAGTCTTTGTTCTGGTAGCATTAGAAATAGATCCCCAAAGGCTTCAAGACTATGTCTATTGGCTTGTTGGGTACACAAGGCAGGATTAAGGATTGACAAAAACCTTGACACTCTTCGTTCTGGTAGAATTAGACAAACTCCCTGTAGGCTCAAAGACTATGTCTATTTTGTTGGGTACCCAAGGCAGGGATGAACCTGCTCCAAAACCTTTACCTTGGTCATTCATCTAGAAAATGGAGGTCTAATACATCATCCCAAGCAAGTCTGGTAGTGTGCATTCCTAGATGCATCATCCATCATAATTTGGTCCAGGTAGGGCTTGAATTACACTGACATGTACCTGCTTCAAAAACTTAACCTGGTCATTCATCTAAAATATATAGGTCATATCCAGCATCCGAAGCAAGTCTGATAGTGTTCATCCCTAGATGCAAAATCCATGCTAGTTTGGTCCAGATAGGGCTTGAAGGTACACTGGAATGAGCCTTCTTTAACCTGGTCACTCATCCAGAAAATGGAGGTTAAATCCAGCATCAAAACAAAATAAAAATGAATGTTTGGTTTAGATGAGCAAAGCATGCTCAAAATTGGGTTCTTGTATGTAAGGCAATAGAACAGTTTGACATAAAAATATTTATTTAGCAAAATGGCCAATTATACAGGGTGTATACTTCAGTATCCAAGTTGCTAATATTGTCAGTCAGATCAAAGATTCGTTATTGTAAGGTAAAATTAGGCCATACACCAATTGATAAGGGTCATATGGTAAATGTGAACAGTTACTAAGTGGCTGAATTGTTTGTATAGCCAATTGGCCAAAGTTGATTGTGTAGCCAGGTGGCAAGTGTTTTCTCTTTGTTTACTGAATTACAGTACTAGGCAAGTGACAAAACATCTCTGTTTATATTGAATACATTACACACTAGCAAGTGTGATCATATTTGTATATTTTGCTTATATTTGTATATTTTGCCTTCATCATCATCCTTGTATGCCTTGGACAAACCAAGTACGATCCCAATTCAAAGAGTCCACTCGGGTCTCGCACGCTACAATCCTAAGCAAGTCCGATACAATGTAGTACTGTGCATCATCATATATGCAATTTACATGCAGTTTGGTCCATATAGGTTTTAAAGTTACACTTCCAGGTTTGAGCCTGCTCCAAAAACTTTAACATGGTCACTCATCATGTAGGGCAAATACAGCATCCGAAGCAAGTCTGAGAGTGTGCTTCCCTTGATACATCATCCTTGTAAATTTAGTTCAGGTAGGCCTATATAGTTTCTTGGTAACGGACCTGCTCCTAAAAACTAACCTGGTCACTCATTCTGAAAATGTAGGTCAGATGCAGCATTTGAAGCAAGTCTGGTGGTGTGCTTCCTAAGATGTATCATACCTGCAAGTTTGGTCAATATAGGGCAGCGCTTATAGTTACTTGGAAATGAGACCTGCTTCAAAAGTTTTAGCCTGTTCCAAAGCATTTAACTACTCATTCATTAGCAGAAAATGCAGCATCCGAAATCTAACTGGTACAGTGAAACATAATAGAAGCATCGTCCATGTATCTTTGATCAATATAGGGCATAGAAGTACTTAAAAAGAAATTTGTTTAAAAAACATTAACGTGGGAGCCGACGCCGGGAGCATTTCACAAGCTCTCTCAACTTCGTTGATGAGCGCTAAAACGATTCATGAAATATAATTTAGGTCTGATATTTGTGCAAAAGTTATTCTACATTTAACTTACAATTTGCATAGAAATATCAAACACATTCACACTTACCTTTTCGGTAACGTAGAACAGTTAGGAGCAGACAAATATTAATCTTTTGTATGTATATAGCTGTATTATTACCTGTCATCGATAATAAAGTGAAAATATTCACAATCACAAAATTGTTCTTGCGAGACGATATTTTTTCCTACGTGTAATTTATAGTCTCAGAAAGAGCTTCTCATGGATTTGTGTTTAAACAAGTCTACTTACATAAATACCTGGGTAATTTATGTTCTATGAAAATTAGAAATTTAGAAGTTTCTTATGTTGAACAGGGAGACTAGACTTTTAGAGCTCTATTTGCCTATTTGTCTTTTATCCGTCCGTTTGTCTATCACATTTGTTCATTTGTTTTCTATCTATCCATCCTTTTGTCTATCAGATTTGTTTTCTTTCTATCCGTCCGTTTGTCTATCAAATTTGTTTTCTTTCTATCCGTTTGTTTGTCTATCATGTTTTCTATCTATCCTTCCGTTTCTCGATCATGTTTTCTTTCTATCCGTCTGTTTGTCCATCACATTTGTTTTCCAGAATTTTCTTTTATTTAAACTTGAGATCTGGTACACTTTCGCATTCTCGTTGCATTTTTTAACTGCAGGTCTTTGTGTCTCAAAAGGTTTCCATTCTTTTCGTTGGCGTTATGACCTTTAATTGAATGAATATCATTAAAAAGTTGTTTTCTGGAAGGTTTTGGATTAAACACCACATGACATAGCAGAGTTCAAGTTAAGTTTGAGTTTCATGGTATTTCAATTCTTTTCTGTCCGTGTTGTGGCCGTAGGTGTACGATACCCGCATAAGCTCATTTCTGAGAAGGTTAAAATATTTAAGTTGTTATAATGATTTAATTATCTCATTATAAGTACCTAGAATCTCATTATAAGAATAAATTATCTCGTAATAATAAATTATATCGTATTTACGTCATATTTATCTCGTAATAACGAGTTAGAGTCTCGTTACACGAGTTAATAATCTCATTATAACGATTCAATTATCTCATTCAAACGTTAGTTATGTCGTTCTATCGAGTTTGTCGTATCGTTACAATGAATTAGTTATCTCATTATATCGAGTTATTATCTTGTTCACTCTTTATAACGAGAAAATTTAAAAGCAATATGGGAATGAAAATGGCAGTAGTCTTCGTTATAATGAGATAGCTAACTCGCAATAACGAGATATTAACTCCATAAAACAAGAAACAATCTCGTAATAAAGAGTTAAATGTTTTTATCTTCTCAAAAATGAGCATATCCTGCTTTCGTAGAATGTATGCAAAAGAGTTGCAGATAAAATTCAAGTGTAAAAGAATTTCAACCATATTTTTGAGTTATCAAACCTTATATTATGATAAAAGGTTTTTCAAGATTGAATTCTTTATTTAAACATATGTTTTTGTTGTTGATAGACTGACCACTTGGCCACTCATCCGGTTTGGAGAATGAATAATATTGTCTTGCCACCAAAATTTAAATAATCTGTTCATTCTTTCATAATATACTATTCTTCCTCTAGATCTACCCTGATTTCAGGAAAGCTTTTTGGGAACGACTTTACTTTACCGGTCCCCAGAAAAACGCGCTAAAATATAGTGTCGCCGTAGGCGACTTCAATATATGAGATCGCGTGAGCGATCGAAAAAAAAATTTAAAATATGAGGTTTTAAGCCCTTTTGACCCCAAAATCGAATTCTATGGTTAAAAGTTTAGCTTAAAACTTCGTCTTTAAACGAAGTTTTTAACCTCGTTCTCTGAAAAAAAAAAAGTAATAATTATTGTTCATTCAGTGAAAAGGAGACAAAAAATAATTGTGAACGAAGCGCGTGCGGCGCATGCTCAGTGCCATTTCTTTCGTACTTAGCCTTTTTTTCATGTAAACAAACCAACGAGATGTCGTTGAAGCTGAATTAAGATCTTACAAAAAATACAGATGCAACTGAATTTCTTAATTAATCTAAAAAAAAAAAAAACAAGACACTAACCCTAATCTCTCGGATGGTATGCGAGGACTAACCCAAATCTCCCAGGCGAATGCTACAAGCATTGCTAGAGCATGCTAGACTAACCCATGTGCGAGGACTAACCCTAATCTCTCGGATGGATGCGAGACACTTCATTACTATTATGCTCATGATCGGGTAAAAATCCGTAGAAATTTCAGTGTGTAAATAATGGTCGAACAATTAGTATGAAAAACGTCAGTCAGCGTTTGACCTAATGATAGATTGTATTCGGAACTTTGTTTAACTAGTCATTCTATCAGTGGTAATCCGTCTAGTTCCCTTTCATCGATATAGAATCTTCAATTCTAGTTCCCTTTCAACGACATAGAATCTTCAATTTTAGTTTCGTTTCAACGATATGGAATCTTCAAAATTGTTAACTTTTTTCAATATTCCCAACAACCAAATTGAATTTGAAATACCATACTGAAACTGGATTCCAAAACGTCATAAAATCCCTACAAACGAAGATACAAAGGGGGTTCTAGTAAATGTTCTACCAAGTATCTTTCTTTACTCCTCATGAAAATATAACAGCAATGAAGGAAAAACTTCTGAAGTACTGTACAATAAAGTGTGAAATTTTCAACATTATTACTTTCCTTTATTCATATTTCAGATAATAAATAGATACTTCGTTATCTCGAACTTCGATTTCTGGAATACCATGGATAGTTTCAGCCACTTTTTCTTTCTGTATTTTATTAACCTCATTATCTCAAATCATCGGATATCTCGGAAGTTTAATCAGGAAAACCTAGGAAACATATTTTGAATTTGATTTCTTAAAAAAAACGTCTGAAATCACAATATATCATTTGAATCCTGCTGATTAACCGATCGGGTCATCCGTCATCGCACAATGAGGATGTCTGCATATACCTGCTACTGAATATTCGTAAAGTCCTGCAGTAAATTATTAAACTTAGTACTTTTAAACTAGTGTATAATCTCTTTCACTAATAGTTGCACAGGTAGTCGCTACTTTCTTTCTTCTAAATTTATCTTGATGCCATGCTTTGATCGCATCACTACATCCGGGAATTCCTCATACACATGTCCTTCCACTAAGCTCACTTTGAATCTGTAGATAGTGAAAGGTTGATCAAATGTGAAAAATGTATTTTTTTTTTTATATAAAATCACGAACAAAAAGATCATAAATTTAAAGTTGTCTCAAAACGACTGCAGATTTACCTTTTAAGCAATGATCCAATCATAACTTTTTGCTCATTGAAAGCAAAATTCTGTCCAATGCAGTTCCTAAAAGAAACAAGCTATATGGGAAGGGTGTTTTCTATAACATAAAATATGCTGAAACATCAGGTGAGTGATAAATTAGGCTACGATATATTTACTCCTACCTTGAACCGGCAGAAAATGGAAAGTAGCTGAAAGGATCACGTGACAGTTTAGCCTCGTCTTCAAATCTCTCCGGTTTAAATTCCTGAAACGACAGGTAAAGCATTTGAAAGCTTTTTTTTAAATACATTTTGGAGCTACATGTATATGAATTTGAAAGGAGTGGATCATTGTGGCTTCGGTCTGACTGACTGATATTGTGATGGTCAAACTACACTGGAAACTATAGATGTACATATGTAGAAATGGGTTTTGTTTCAATTTCTGTTGAGTTATATTCGGGTATCAATGAAAAGAATAAATTAGGGCAATAAGGAAATATAATATTTTACTGCTGAAAGTATTGTACGCAATTTTAATTTTTACGAATAATCTTAACAAAGACGTAAATATATATGATCGTAAGTCCAAGCGTTCGCCCTTTTGTATGTAGAACAACGCTTCGTATCTATTTGTTGTAAACACCAACAATTTTCATTGCATTGTTATAGTTATTGAAGACGGGTAAAATGATTAAGAGTTCACATGCATTTTGTTTAAAAAGAAGTTCATTTAGAAGTCATCTTATAGTTGCTACCTTTCGCCACATATCGAAATGATTTCAGTTATTTTTATAATTTGATGTTTCTGTTTATTAATGATAAGCTTAATTCATTCTATTGTATGATTTTATTTATATATTTAATAAATGTTTAGCTAAGGAATCACTCTTTTTTATTTTTCGAAGACTTTGTTAAAAGTATGTTAACGTACAGAAACATGGAATGAATCGCGCACATGACGTCAAGTAATACATCATCAAAATAATCAACTCAGATGTCGTCAATAGCTAGCTGAAATTAGACATAATTAGATGGTCTTCTTTACCTCTTAAATTATGCAAAACCAACACAAATGGTGAATGATTCCATTAAAATCAGTATATAAGCATTCATATCTCAAGTTTTGGAAATTGATAAAAATACTTTTAATTGCATTTGTGCTTCTGGACATATTTCTTGCGTTCTTGTGCATATGATTAAGGTAAATATCAGTTCTTACCATATGGTCAGGCCATACATCTGGATGATGATTGACTGCATGTATTACGACATCAACAGCAAAGTAGGCAGGGATCTCCAAACCCTCCACACACAGTGGCTTAGTCAGATATCTACTCACTACTGGTACAGGAGAATGCATCCTCATGACTTCTCGTAGGAACATCGACATGTATTTCAACCGACTTAAATCTTCCCTTTTAAAACAAACAAGAGGCCCATGGGCCACAACGCTCACCTGAGTAACTTTGGCCTTGCTGTTTTTCACCTGATTTCCCCCCTTGAAGTACTTATTGTGGCCCCGCCCTACCCCTAGGGGTCATGATTTGAACAATTTAGCATCTACAATACCCCAGGATGCTTCCACTTAAGTTTCAGCTTTTCTGGCCCAGTGGTTCTTGAGAAGAATATTTTTAAAGATTTTTTTCTAAATATTCCAATGCAAAACTTGGATTCCCAATTGTGGCCCCGCTCTACCCCTAGGGGTCATGATTTGAACAATTTAGAATCTACACTACCCCAGGATGCTTCCACTTAAGTTTCAGCTTTTCTGGCCCAGTGGTTCTTGAGAATAAGATTTTTAAAGATTTTTTTCTACATATTTCAATGCAAACTTGGATTCTCTATTGTGGCCCCCCTACCCCTGGGGGTCATGATTTGAACAATTTAGAATCTACACTACCCAGGATGCTGCCACATAAGTTTCAGCTTTTCTGGCCTAGTGGTTCTTGAGAAGAAGATTTTTAAAGATTTTTTCTAAATATTTCAATGCAAAACTTGGATTCCCCATTGTGGCCCCGCCCTACCCCCGGGGGTCATGATTTGAACAATTTAGAATCTACACTACCCCAGGATGCTTCCACTTAAGTTTCAGTTTTTCTGGCCCAGTGGTTCTTGAGAAGAAGATTTTTAAAGATTTTTTTTTTCTAATATTTCAATGTAAAACTTGGATTCCATATTGTGGCCCCGCCCTACCCCTGGGGGTCATGATTTAAACAATTTAGAATCTACACTACCCCAGGATGCTTCCACATAAGTTTCAGTTTTTCTGGCCCAATGGTTCTTGAAAAAAAAAGATTTTTACTTTATATTTCAATATAAAACTTGGATTCCCTATTGTGGCCCCGCCTCACCCCCCGGGTCATGATTTGAACAATTTAGAATCTACACTACCCCAGGATGCTTCCACATAAGTTTCAGTTTTTCTGGCCCAGTGGTTCTTGAGAAGAAGATTTTTTAATGCCCCACCCTATTTTTGTCTTTTCTTGATTATCTCCCCTTGGAAGGGGGCCTGGCCCTTCATGTTAACAATTTAAACTCCCCTTCACCCAAGGATGTTTGTACCAAGTTTGGTTAAAATTGGCCCAGTGGTTCTTGAGAAGAAGTTGAAAATGTGAAAAGTTTGTAGACGGACGGACGGACAGACGGACGGACAACGGACAATGGGTGATCAGAAAAGCTCACTTGAGCTTTCAGCTCAGGTGAGCTAAAAAGCGAAAGTAATATTTATTTGTTGAAAGATATACATGACAGCATTCAGAAATCAACACAACACAATCACTTATAATAAAACAGAACCTTCTTCCACTTTTTGATGGAGGAAAAATAAGAAAAGCTTTAATTCATTGGAATGTTCCCTTTTTGGCCAGATTTGTATATGAGTTACAAAACCATGAAATATAAGGGTAAGGTAACGAGAAAGTCAATATCCCAGGAATAATGGTGAGATTGGAATGTACTTATGTATTCACAAAGATGTAAGTAGGAAGCAATTATGGTAATGAATTCTGTTTTGTAATCAAAACATGAACTGAATACTATCTTCAGGAAATTTAACGAAAAAGTCATAGGTTAAGGTCAAACACTGCTTGCACAGTAAGAAGACTCTCAGAAAGAGGAACGCGTGAGTTTAAAAAGAGGGGGATTTTAGTCATCTGTCATGGTACCTTAGAAATTGAGTCCAAACGAATCACAAAGTGTTATGTCAAAGTCAGAGGAAAGGGAAAAGGTCAACCATATTTCAACATCCTTACTTAAAGGTTTACACGAATGAAGAAATGTTGAACCTGATTAAGGAAGTTTTAAAATGGGGTAAATTCAAAATCAGTAAGTATAAGATCAAAAATGAAATGACTAGCGTACTGTCATTTGTGCAGCCGTGCATAAAAATAATTCGTTCAAATGGCATGATGTGAATCTGCAAAATTACTCGTAATTATGTCATTTTTTTTCTATTTTGTATAGGTTTACCCTTACCATTGTAGTTGCTGTCGCCCGCCTAAAATTTCTATAAGCTCTTGATGGACATTTTCCTGTATTTCTGGATATTTCGCTAAGGAATAAATTGCCCAGCTAATGGCGGACGCAGTAGTATCATGTCCTAAATATTGTATTAGTGTATAATTATTTTTTATGACAAAGTACACGAACCGAATGCAGTAAGTGAAATTATTAGAAGTCAGTATATTTTGTTCAATTAACAATTATCTATTTGGTATAAAAGTATAAAAGAATCGCCTTGTTAATTATAAATAGTGAAACAAATTACACTAACCTCTTATTAACCTCAAAATTTCTACAGAAGTATATTTAGATTCTTAAACTTGGAATTAGAATATAAATCTAAACATGTTGCATTTTCATGGCTAGCCCTTTTTACTCTTAAAGTACACTTTAATCTATAGAGAACCTTCGAAAAGAAATGTGTCGACTTCAGCCCGGATTTCCTCTGGACTGAGACCCTTGCCATTTTCATCCCTGGCTGTTATCAGAATATCCAGGAAATCCTTGCGACGTTTGTTTATCAGATCCGGATCAAGTCGCTGTTAAAGAAAATTTAATGCAGCTGTGTATGTGAGTATAATTTACATTGTTTACAAATGGGTCATATATTAATTCTAGAAGCATACCAATGCCTTCATCCTGGACTGAATTATTTCATCTGCAAATTGGTGAACACTGTCGGTCAACATTTTGTTCTCTCTGCCATCGGCTGTTAATCCATACATAAAATCAGGATACAACCAAGGTGTTCTGTAAAATGAGATACTTAGGTCTTTGGGATGGCATATATTCCTTATAAAATTGCAGAATCTGCATGATATCTTTCTCCAAAAATAAAGCAGGCATTCTTTGAATGATTGATAAAAGTGTTTATCTCCCATTTTCTTTTGGAGAATTTAATTTTGCTATTAATATGAAATTATTTCATTAACTTAAAGTCCAAATTAATGTGGAAATCAATTTCTCAGTAAGATATACGATAATAAAGGGGTAACGGTATGTTCTTCGAAGGAGTTGACCAGTTACTGGCTTCGCTCTCGACCTGTTTAAAACATGGGGACTGCCTCCGTCCCATGCTTCAGAAAATGTGACCTTGATGAGGGCACGTATCATTCACATTTAAACATGAACATAACTTACACCATCCGCTTAATGGCTAGAGTCGTCAATCTATTGACCTGGTCCACGTATGGATGACTGTCACTGAAATTGAATGAAGGTTAGGATTGTTTTAAGATATGAAATATGATGATAATTAGTAATTCAGAAGGAAGTACACTTTTAAAACGCTCTAGGTATGTTGTTTTATGCAACTAAAGATCTGTCATTAGATCTTCAAATAAAATATATGTATATAAAAATATGTAGTGTATTTCCCAGTTTGTAAAAATTTCAAGCATTCGTATGCACTCATCACTTATATTTCCCCATTTTAGAGAGATAAATGAGCACAGTCTGTTCATCAATATTTTGCTGTCGTTACAGATTTTTCCTGGAGGAAACGGCTGGTAGTTAAAATATGAAAAAGGAAAACCCAATTTTTACAACTTTTCTTAGTGTCCTACATATACATATTAAGCATTTCATTATCTAATGACAATGAGCATGACGAGAGGAAAGTAACTCGATTCGTAAACCACAGCTGTCTGTTTTAAAATTACGTTTGCAAGGGTTACTTCAAAAGGTCCTCATTTTGGTTGGTGGGGTTTGTATTTCTGGGAATGCAACAAACAAAAGGAAATTTATAAAAGTTAACGAAAAATGCGGCATACCCCATTTCCTGCACATGTTCGTTGTAGGAGAGCGAGCACCGTAACATCGTGTCCAAAGTGGCTAATGATACCAGTTTATAAATCTCTATACTCTGATTAGAGTCACAAGCTTTTTGAAGTTTTTCCTGTACAGTATTTAAAAAAATACAGTGTAATGCGTTTCATATAATAGTGTACATGTAGAACAAGTTATATATACAATATTTTCAACGTACTAATACTGATTTACTTATTTTCTAGAATTGCAATTTTAAATAATTAATATTGTTCTAAGAAACAGCTATCTTTCATGAATTATTTATACCAGAGATCTAATGCAATACCAAGAAAATATCTGCAACATCGTTGTAGATTTGAACGTATGGTCTGAGGATGTCAAAATGAAAGGCGGGAGTTAGCAGACGACGGTTTCTTTCCCATTTCCACCCGTCTGACAGCAGTAAACCATCGCCTACAACAGTATAATTATTGAGAAAATTAAAAGTCATTTTGAGTGGGGGGAGAGGGGATAAAGTTAATGTAGCATTCTAATAAATGTCATGTAAAAAGGGATAGGGTCGATAGTATGACACAGTTAACCTGGTTGCCTCAAGCCATCCCCATCCCGAGCTTTCTTTTCTTGTTCTTTCAGGTGAACCCTAGTTGTTTTCTCTCTTAATCTGTTTTCAATTCTCTCCGCCAAGTGCTTTTTGATCTGCCTTTCTTTCTTTTACTTGGGTATGCTCCGGTTAATTTCCTGTCTCGTAGTGTTGGTTAAGGGTTTGTGGGGTGTTTCGGAAGTCATCCTCAACACCTTTGCAACAATACGTTGTGTAGATAGCTGTTTGTCTTATGCCAGTATTTTTGCAGGTTGTTGATACTGTTCAGAAAGAATATTTGGAGGGATTCTACTTTGTTGTTGAAAAACGTCCAGCTGTTTTTAGTCCTCCAAATTCGGCATCGTACAGTAGGACTGCCTTGATATTACTCCGTTTTGCGGGTAAGATTTCGGGTCCACTTGACTTTTTTCAACTGTAAAAAAGCCATTTTGCAAAGTCCAGGCCACTCTAACTGTTTCCATGATGTCCACTCTATAAAGTTCTCTGTTTCTGTAGCGGTTATTTTCATAATGTCGTCTACTACCACAAAATAATCTTTTCTGACTCCTGCTCTGACAAAAAAAAAAACCTGGATGATGGCTACCATGAATGATCATACAGGACAAACCTTCATATTTCGTTTCACTGTTTTTCTTATTCAATCTGTAGTTGGTTCACTACAAGCTACATCCAATCTTCTGTAGCTAGCACTTTGTTAGGTGGATTAGTTGCCACTGGTCTATTCAAAAGCTCTTTAAAATGACCGAGCTATGTTATCTTAATCTGTTTTTCTATTTTATCTTTCACAGGTATATTAATTGTACTTTCCTTACAGTTCTTTTTTCTGATCTCCCAATATTTCTTTCATGTTTCTCACTCTACATGCTTGTTCTGATCCTCTACCTGTGAATCTACATACTTCTTTTTGTCTGCCCGAATACTCTTTTTAGCTCTTAAGTTAGCTTTTGAGTATTTTTTTCAGGTATATTCTCAGCTCCTGTTCTGCTGGAATTCAAGAATACTTTCTTTTCTTTCCTCTCTTTTATCATATCAAGGTTTTATTTGATATACACTGTTTAGATGGCATTTCTTGGGACAACCTCGCACGTTGAAACGATGGTCAACATAATTAAAAAAAAATAAACATTTGTCAACATTTGATTATACATAGAATCTATCGGATACGCTTTTCGAACATCATCAACAACCTGCATAAATATATGGCATAAAACAACCCAGCTGTAGAAACCGAAATCTTGCAGAGACATTGGAGATGGTTGTCCCACACACTCCACAAACCCTCAATCACGAGGCAGGAACTAAGCTGGAGGCCACCTAAGCAAAAGAAAGATAGACCAACAAAAACATCTTGAGGAAAGAATTAGAAACAGAGAGAAAAAAACTAGGGCTCACCTGGAAAGGGCTTGAAAAGAAACCTCAGGATACGGTGGGCTGGAGAACTTTGTTGATGGTCTATGCTCCAAAAGGGTAGCAGACAAGTAAGAACCCCATTTCCTATTACTTAAAGGTGCTTGGACACAGATTTGAAGTTAATATTTTCTCAAATTTTCTGTATAATTTCATGACGTATATGTTGCTATAGCATTTCATACTAAAATATAATAAAAATCTTATTTCATCTTGAAGTTATTAAAACTTCGAATTTCTGGACGCGTTTAATTGACACATCCTTGCGTTTTCACATATTTTAATATTATTCTTAATAATTTAGAAAAGTGGCAATTTTGTTGTGTATTAATGAAAAATATTAAAACTATAACCCAGAAAAATTCATAGTAGAAATGTTCGAAAGCAAACCCAATCACGGTATTGTAAGTCCGTTCTCAGTGGTGTGTGCAGAGTTTAACAATTGAACACACCCGGTGAATCGGAAACATTAACAATAACAGAGCTCGTGCCCTGTTTACAGAAACAGTTTACGTTTCACGGGTGTATTCAATTTGTAAAACTCTGTACACATCACAAAGCACGGACTGACAATACTTGTGTGTTGGTTTTGGTTTCGAACATTTCTACTCTGAATTTTCTGGATTATAGATGTAATATTTTCCATTAATACATAACAAAATCGCTTCTTTTCTTAAATATTAATGATAAAGTTAAAATTTGTGCAAGTGCAAATATGTGTTAATCAAGCGCGTCCCGGAATTCGTAGTTCCAATAATTTCCAGATAAAATAAGTTTTTAATTATATTTTCGTGTGAAATGCTATTGCAATATATAAGTCGTGATATTATACAAAAATTTGAGAAAATATTAAGTTCAAATTTGTGTCTAAGCACCTTTAATATCCTTCAAAACTATGAATTCGGTCATCCAATGACAAAGGGCTAGTTGTATCACACTACATGTATTGACTTTTCCTGTTTTTATGTCATTTATTCGACTGGTAGAATAACTTCAACACCCCCCCACCCCCCCACCCCCCCAATTGAATGAATTTTGTAGGTGGTTTACAAAATTCGAAATTTAGCCAGTGAGAAGAACACGAGTTGTAAGATTCTTATTTTGGGCTAGAAATGGGCATTTGAAGCTTTGCTGGTAATGTTGGTTTTCTAATTTTAATGCAGATCTAGCAATGGACTTTGTACAGAAAGTAATGGGTTACTTCAATTTCAAGTGGTGTTTCTTAATATTTATCATTCGATTGAATTTTTGCATAACCGGTAAGAAATTTAAAAGTATGTTCGCTGTATTCATGTAAACAATCTTTAGTCCTAATAACATTTTTTAAAATTTATTTTGAGATTTAATATTGAAAAATGAATGCATTTGATGAGTGAAAGTGTGCATTTCTGTTATGAAACAAAACCCAGAAATATTCCGACAAACATGAATAAACCCTGTTAGTTAAACATCAAATTGGATCCTTACCTAACCAAGGTAAGAGGAATCGGTAGGATCCTCCCACGCTGTGTCTGGGTTTGGGTTCTGAGGACTTCAGGAGTATTTTAGCTGTGTCTGGATGGCACACCCCAAAGCTGGGGTAGAAGAACATTGTCCAGCCATGGAAGAGCTTTGTTCTGGTTCTCTCCTGTGTATCCAAAACTGTCTTGTAGTATCCTTGCATGTTTTCAAACTAAGGGTAGAAAATGCAGCATACTTAGTCATGAATTTGTTGGAACATTCTTCATAGGATTTTTTAATGAGAGAGAGAGAGAGAGAGAGAGAGAGAGAGATCAAACGGTCAAGAACTATGAATGTTTTTTTAAAAGTTCAAAATATTTTTTCTGTCTTATTTGATCTACTTTGGTTATGATTTAACCTTAAGGATACTAAGAATAAAAAAACATGTAGTATCGTATGTTATTGTAAACACAGGGGTACATGTACAATATAGTCTAGACCACAACTTTCATCGGAGCCCCCCCTCCCTCCTGCTATTCACAATAAAGCCAAAAAAGAGCACGTTCGACTATAATTAGTACATATTTTTACTGTGTTGCTCCATAAAACGGTTTACAGATCTCTTATTTTTCTTAGCGAAAGAATCCTAAAGAGATATGCGCATATTATCTATAGTCAAAATAATTGTGGATTGGAATATTCAAATGCACACCCGGTACATCATATACCACTGAGAGACTTGCGAAAGGTATAACTTCATTTAGACATGTATAAATAAGATTTTATTTGGCAATAGTAAATAAATATTTAATCGATAGTTCAATACAATCAACAGTCATATCCTACATATTTGAACAACTGTTTTATAAAAATAGAAATATAGGTAAAATCCAGAATGGTCAAAAACCCACTTGTCCATTTAAATCTAGCTGATTATATATAAAGGTCAGTCTGTCACAATTTAAACATGTTCATGTAGAAACATACCAAGACAAAATGTCCCCAGATGGGATGCAGCTTTCCCATTGGGGTAATTTTCGAGGTGAGATGAATCCAATATCTGTACTGTCGTCCATAATGAATCACACGAGATAGAAAATACACAACAACTATCGCAACAATGACCTGAGCGATCATGGCCGTACGTGTATGTAAACACTATCACTAGATCCTAGCTATTCTAGTACACGGGCACTGATCGAATTACGCAGTACATGTATGCTTTTAGGATCCGATTGACAGTTCAACTGGTTTATTATTTATTTAATGATATTTTAAAACTATCATACATCTTAATATTCTAACTTATCTTAAATTATTCTTAACAGAAATGATTGATTTTTGTTTGTGTAATTAAAACTATCAAACTTCTTCAGTTTTAGAATGCGTTCTGTAAAAGTTGCATTTGGTGTGATCGACCATTTACCTAATGGTAACCCGAAGGTACGACAGAGTCCTTGGGAGCGCAAATTTGATTAATTCCAACTAAGGAGCTCCATATCAACCAAGCTCTCACAAAAACATTAATTACTTCAGACGTGCAGTGCTACAACATATTCAAGAAGTGGTGTATAAATCAAGTGTAGATTCTTAAAAACTCCAAATAAATTTTTGAATTAAAAAAATTTACTTTTTTCCCACCAAAATCAATAACACTGATCAAATCGTTTGACTTCATAATAAATTAAAGGCTTTTTGACATCAAACACTGCTTTTCAATTAAAAAAAAAAATCAAAATTTTTCTTTCTTGTGATATGTCATCTATAAAATAACTTTCTTAAAAATCATTCACAAGTACTCTGAAGTTTATTGTGTTCCTCATTTACAATATCCATCTATAGTCTTTGGAGGTCTTCCAATTACTTGTTGCAATAATGATGGGCACTGACTTTGCTCCTTTGTCAATCGACTTTTTTAGTCGGGCTCATTGCTAGTAGAGCAATATCCGGCTTTTGTCACGGTGTTCAAACAAAAGTGCTACTGTTTCACACCCAAATGGAATTTACGCTAAGAAATATAGTGCATACACTGATAAGACAACACAAACACAAAATCAGAGTAAACTGAGGTATTTTCTAAACAAATAAACATTAATGGTAATGTATTTTCTTCCATGTTCTTTAATTTACATATTTAAATTTCATCAGGTCCCCCTGTCTGCATCATATTCTATAAATAGAGGTTGTGTTACAAGGCTTTCACTAGCGCAGGTAGCACGTGATATGTTATACAGCTTCTGTGCGCAAACGTTTGACCTTGTTGCATCAATGTTTGTTTACTTCTGGAAGTGGCGTAAGACCCCAGAACGACATATTGATTTATTGTTTACGCTGTTTAATTTTATTGTTTTATACTAATAAATTTGTCTACCTGATTAAATCCGTAGAAAATTCAGTGTGTAAATAATGGCCTAACAATTAGTATGAAAAATGTCAGTCAGCCTTTGATTTAATGATAGAATGTATTTGCTGACAAGGTCATTTTATCGACCATTAAACTTGCGAAATGATGACTTCAAACGAGATTGTTGATGTCGGTGTTTCATCAACTTGTTTGTCAATAACTTGCCTCGTTTTAGAAATTATTCATACGATGCTCTTGCGTATCGAATCAACTGAGATACAAAACCTCCATATGGAGGAGATAAAGGTATTTGCTTCATATTAAAGGAAGTTGACGATTGAAAAATTAAAGTCATCACGTTTATCATAAAGCTTTGTTGTTAGTTTACCATTTAAATATTTCTCTAGTAAAATATCCAAATATGAAACAGCTGTCTCAGATGTAGTATCTTTTAGATATGTAGTTTCACAATACGTCTAACTTCAGTAACAGAAAATTGTTAATTTGCAATGGGTCAACTTTTCTGTGATGAAATATGTGGAGATAACGAACAGTATTCGAGCTCAAAAGTCCATTAAACATGACAAAATAAGAGCAGAGCAAACACGGACCTCTAAGACATCAGGTGGGAACAGGTGCCATGGAGGAGTGAGCATCCCCTGCCAACCGGTCACACCCGCCGTGTGTTCCTTGTCATGATCGGGAACTAACGGAAAATCCGTCAACAATTCAGTGTGTAAATAATGGCCTAAGAATTAGTATGAAAAAAATCAGTCAGCATTTGACTTAATGAAAGATTGTATTTGCTGACAAGGTCATTAATTCGACCAAAGAACTTACGAAATGATGATTTTAAACGAGACTGCTGATATTCTTGTTTCATCAACTTGTTTGTAAATAACTTACCTCGTTTTAGAAATTGTTCATACGTAGAGCATGCTCTGGCGTATCGAATCAACTGAGAAATATAAACCTCGTATGCAAGTGATAAGGGTATATTGCTGCATAAGTATAAGGGAAGTTGACGATTCAAAAGTTAAAGTCATCACGTTTATTATAAAGCGTTGTTGTTAGATTACCATTAACGTCTTTTTCTAATAAAATATCCAAATATGAAGCAGATGTGGTATCTTTTATCTCAAGCTCACCGGGATATATCGTATCGACATAAGTCAGAATGAAAATAATCATTGTTAATTGACAATACGTCGTCGATATATCCAAATGTCGAGTTGAAGGCCACAACAAGTGTTTTCTTCTTTTCACGTTAAAGATTTTGAACAAATTCTTCTTGATTGAATACAAAATGTGAGTACAAATTTTGGTTCATTTGGGATTTGATTTTGTGGTTGAAGAAATGTTGAGTTGTTATATATATTTGAATATTTCCTGGAGGACATGAGTCACTGGGTGTCTTCATACAAGAAAATTTACCCCTCACCCAAAAATTAGTACTTTCACAGTATATTCTTAGAGGAATTAATGCGTTCATCAATTCTTTTAAAGAGAGCAATAGTTCAATTAAAGAAATCATAAATCATAGATATGTTGAATTCTTTTCAAGAGAGAAATAGTGCAATTAAGGAGGTTGGATCCTGCCATCAAAAGTAATGAGAATTTTTTATCAAGTATATTTTTAGAATCTACACACATAGCTTAATTAAAAATCAAAACAGGAAAATGGGGTCAATGCGCTTCTCTTGGCGCTACAGAGCTTTTAGTTTGACCTTTTTGCATTGTAAATACGTCTTACACATAAATCATTTTTAAAAGTTTTTCCTCCAGTATTTTTTTATTGAGATAAATTATGGGAACAAAAACAGTTTTATTTCATCTCGAATAGACACATTAAAATTCGTGACAACAACAATTTTTCAAATTACTTCACATTTTCAATTATTTGACCTTTTTGCACTAAAAAAAGTTATTTTTCTGGCATGAAAAATTTAACAAGCAATATCATTTGAAAGTAATGACGTTTTACTGAATTTAAGAAGAATGGCTAAAAGTATCTTATATATTCAGAAAAGAAAATTAAAAGTGGGGTCTGTGATGTTAATTTTTAGATATTACTAAAATATTGCTGATTTTAAATTAGGGATATTTTTCTGGATTTTCACAATATATTTGCTATCTTTATCAAAGATGATGATAGAATCCATGATAGTGTATTTGATAGATAATTTAGGAACAGCATAAAACAGTCCACGGCACAGAATAACTCTGTGTGCAGGCTGCATGGAAAAATAGGAATCCAAACTTAACACACTTTAAATACTTCGAAAGAGAACTTCTAAAAACCCTTCCGCCACAAAATATAGTTCTTTACTTAATGCTTTTGATACGGAATTTAATCATGCAGTTTTAACTGAATATATTTTAATTGGTATTGTAGAATCCAAATTTATTGTAAGAACTAAAACATTATGCATAATTTTTGAAATATAGGTTAAGACAAAAACCTGCTCAAAGGCTCAGGAGCGAACCTCGTTAAAGAGATCATAAATCAAAAATATGCTGAATTGAAGATATCACTATTTAAATAGTTGCTCTCTCTAAAAGAATTGTTGGCGCGCACAAATTGAATTAATAATATCATAGACTCAATTGAAGAGAGCAATAAATTTTCATGCGCATTCATTGAATTGATGCGCGTTGTGCACCTCTATTTAATTGTTTATATCATTTATTCATTTGAAGAGAACAATAATTAAACTATTGCGTGCATCAATTCAGCAAATTAATTTATTATGAACGCGCATTTTTTTCAGAACTTGACATTAACTATTTGAGATTTTAATTCAATTGTTTTGCATAATCAAATGCATTGATCTTCACATGCAAATACAGTATCCAGCTACTTAATTATATTCCCCTGCTTGAAAAGCGGGGGAATATAGTGATAGGGTATTCGTCCGTCCCTTAAGCTTAGGGGTACCCCTCCCTTATCCGCAACTCCTCATATACTACCGTTTTTTTTTATCAGATATTTTGAGGTTTCCCATGGCAAAACATGGACAATGTCTTTCTTTCTATAATATTTGGGGTAACCACCTCTTACCTGCAACTCCTCCTATACCACTGAAAAAATTTAATGAAACTTTCGCAGAATCTTTATTACATATTGTCATGGTGCATCTCCTATTTCACATTTTGATAAGACACATATTTGGAATAAAAAATTGATGCGATTTTTCCAGATTCTTTTTTGCATAGTGCCATTGTAAATTTCCTATTTTACATTTTGGTGACATACATATTTGGGGTTTCCCATAGAAAAACATGGACACTATCTTTTTTTCTATAATGCAGGGGTAGATTTCTGTTATGGTTATTATACAACTAAAGGCAGATCACTCTGACTGCACAATTGCACCATGAAAGGACATGATAAGCACTAAATATTATTTACTTGAGCAATTTTACTGTTAGTATTGGGGGAGCTAAGGGAGAAAGTATATCTATATTCCCTCTTATTTGAAAAAAATTTTAATTGAAAAAGTTAAGCTTTAAACCAATGCTCTAAAGCTTGCATAAGACTGTTTCCCTTGTTCCCATATTTATGGGTGTGACTTGAATGAATTAATCATTATCTTTTGAATTTTTTTTACGGTTTCGGAGTGTCAAGTAATTTTTGTATTTGTTATATTTTCAAGTGTGAAATACTGTGATTTATTTATTGAATAAAAGTGATATTATCTCACAGTGTGAAAGAATATCAATGTAAGTAAAAAATAATTTCTGGCTTGTCATAAGAGAGAGATAGTAAGTTGATAGAGACTAAAACTGCCAATTTCTTCCCAAATAGGTTGCTAAAATCCATGTAAAAATGTTTTAAATCTCACAATTGCTCAGCTTTGACATCACAGCCTATGACATTGTGTTAAGAAAAAAAAACAGAGGCAAAGGGAAAATCAAAGAAAATGTAATAAACAGAACAAGAGGTCCATGGGCCACATCGCTCACCTGAGTAACTTTTGCCATGCTGTTCTTTACCAGATCCCCCCTTGTAATACCTATTGTGGCCCCGCCCTACCCCGGGGGGTCATGATTTGAACAATTTGGAATCTACACTACCCGAAGATGCTTCCACGTAAGTTTCTGTTTTCCTGGCCTAGTGGTTCTTGAGAAAAAGATTTTTAAAGGTTTTTCCTATATGTTTCAATGTAAAACTTGGATTCCCTATTGTGGCCCCGCCCTACACCCGGGGGTCATGATTTTAACAATTTAGAATCGACACTATCCCAGGATGCTTCCAGCTTTTCTGGCCTAGTGGTTCTTGAGAAGAAGATTTTTAAAGATTTTTCCTATATATTTCAATGTAAAACTTGGATTCCCTATTGTGACCCCGCCCTACCCCCGGGGGTCATGATTTGAAGAGTTTAGAATCTACACTATCCCAGGATGCTTCCATATAAGTTTAAGCTTTTCTGGCCCAGTTGTTCTTGAGAAGAAGATTTATTAATGACCCCACCCTATTTTTGTCTTTTCTTGATTATCTCCCCTTGTAAGAGGACTTGGCCCTTTATTTTTACAATTTAAACTCCTCTTCACCCAGGGATACTTTTACCAAGTTTGGTTAAAATTGGCCCAGTGGTTCTTGAGAAGAAGTTGAAAATGTGAAAAGTTTACAGACGGACGGACGGACAGACGGACGGACGACGGACAACGGGTGATCAGAAAAGCTCACTTGAGCTTTCAGCTTAGGTGAGCTAAAAATGAATGGTTTGTAGTTGGATATGGAATTTATTTCACTCTTTTGGATTTTTTTAAAAATATTTTCACTCGTGCTTCGCACTCGAGAAATTATCAAAAATACTGTCCCACTCATGAAATAAATTCCATATCCAACAAGAGGCCCATGGGCCACATCGCTCACCTGAGCACATTGGCTAGGCAAAAGCACAAATCACTTCAGTAAAGATTAATTGGGGGGGGGGGGGGAGGGGTTTGAATTTTAAACTACCTTCCATGTCAATTTAACAAATGGCTTTGTTGTACTTGATAAGGTTTAAAAAAAAATTTCCCATATGTTCCTTTGTAAAAATTTGATCCCTATCCCAGGGGTCATCATTTGACATTTTTATTCTATATGTTCTTATGTAAAACTACTTTCGATCCCCCATTGGGCCCCACCCTACCCCCACAAAGATGGATCCAGGGCCAGCGCACCGGGCGTGCACCCTCGTTTGAATTTTTTTTTATGTAGAACTTATATGTCCATTATCCTAAAATCAAGGAAAAACATCTCTTCTTTGTAAGAATTTGTCAGCTTCCCAGACCCCCACCAAGGCCTTGCTCTAGACCCACTGGGGGCTTCAATGCAGCCCCCAGACCCACTGCCTCTACTCCTGCCCCGTTACAAAATTCCTGGATCCGCCACTGCCCCGGGGGTCATCATTTGAACAAAATTGAATTTACACTACCTGAGGATGCTTCCATATCAAAATGACTAAACATGATTTTAAGTTCTTGAGAAGAAGATATTTTCCTATATGTTCCTATGTAAAATTTTCAATCCCCCATTGGGCCCCACCCTACCCCCGGGGGTCATCATTTGAACAAAATTGAATTTACACTATACGTGAGGATACTTCCATATCAAAATGACTTATCATGGCTTTGCAGTTCTTCAGAAGAAGAAATTTTTCTATATATTTCTATTTAAGTCTTTGATCCTCCATTGTGGCCCCGCCCTACTCCTGGGGGTCATGATTTGAACAAACTTGAATCTACACTACCTGAGGATGCTTCCATATAAATGACTCATCATGGCTTTGCTGTTCTTGAGAAGAAGATTTTTAAAGGTTTTTCCTATATATTTCTATGTAAAACTTTGATCCTCCATTGTGGCCCCGCCCTACCCCCGGGGGTCATTTGATTTGAACAAAGTTGAATCTACACTACCTGAGGATGCTTCTACATGAGTTTCATCTTTCCTGGCCCTGTGGTTCTTGAGAAGAAGATTTTTAAAAGATACTATTAATTTTTCACCAATTCTCTATTATCTCCCCTTGAAAGAGGGCATGGCCCTTCATTTGAACAAACTTGAATCCCCTTCATCCATGGATGCTTTGTGGCAAGTTTGGTTGAAATTGACCCAGTGGTTCTGGAGAGGAAGATGAAATTGTGAAAAGTTTACAACGACGACAACGCCAACGACAGACAACGGACAAATTTTGATCAGAAAAGCTCACTTGAGCCTTCGGCTCAAGTGAGCTAAAAACACTGAATATCCTCTATTTACTTTCGTCAGCTAAAATCAAATATTACAATATGACAGGTGAAACGTATACCTGTATACATGTATTTAAATATATTCGTACTTCACAACATTGTAATCTAGCTATAGAAAGGGCAAGTTTACAAAGATACGCCATGTTTATACACATATATAAATAATTTAATATATATTATTTAAATTGCAAAATAATTTACATCAACAAGCACAGTCAATAACAAATAATACAGAATTTGCGGTGTAGAAAAAACATAGCATTATTGTCTATAGTAGATTAATGTTCCCTTCTTTCCTCTAAGTTAATTTTAATTCCGTATTTTGCGGTCATAACAAATTGTGGATAGTGTTCGTATACATGACCTTCTACGAGGCTGACTTTAAATCTGAAAAAAAAAGTATAAAACGATAAGGAAAATTAACTATATCAAGAAGACATAACCATATCAAGAAGTCAAACCCTAGTAACTATATCAAGAAGACATAACTATATCAAGAAGTTAAAAGTTATTGTAAACAGTCTATTAAAAATTACTGAATACTTATTATCCCTTGTTTCATACTTCAGAGAACCAAATACCGTTTTATAAGTGATGCGATCATGACTTTCTCCTCACTGACTGCAAAATTCTGTCCAATGCAGTTCCTATTTTTAGAACAATATACAATGAAATAAAAGCATATAGAACATATTTTGGCAAACGTATAAATTTTTGGGAAAAAGTATATGAGGCGCATGGTATCTGAAACAAATTATTCTAAAATATGGATTATTTTTCCTTGGAAAAAAGTCTAGTGGGATGTAATATTTCAAGTGTGACCATGACCTGCCACCAAGAACATGATTACAAAAATTTTGAATTCAAACATTTGATATTTACAAACATATTTGAAGTTTACAAGAATGACGAAATGAAAAGCAATTCGTCATCTGAGCGACTTGCATAGGCATCTCAATTTTGTTCGCCCAGAGATTGAGATAAAAGTATAATTTGCAAAAAGCTGACTTTAAACGGGGATGTTGAAATCCGAGTAACATCTTAACAACTGATTTATCAGTAGTTTGCTTCGGTTTAAAAACTGACCGTATTCAGATCATGCTCTTACCCATCGTATCAGTTTGGAGAAGTAGGTGATGTTGGAATATTGATACATAAATATGGGAAGTTGATGATGGAAAAGCTGAAGTCGTTCCGTTTGTCATACAGTTGTTATTAGTTGGTTATCATCGTCATTAGTTGGTAAAAAAATCCAGATAAAAACATATGTGGCAGACTATGTGGTGTCTTTTATTTCGAGTTTAATGGAGAACTAGCATATCGATTTGACATATGAATCAAACTAACTATGGTTAACTGAGAAAACGTCGTCGATATATCAAAATGTTGAAGGCCACAGCAAAAGTTTTCTTCTTCTCATGAAGAAATTTTTCAATACACTCTGCTTCAAAGGACCACAATGTATCGGATTTCCAACAAGCTGATGGAAGATCTGATCTCTAAAAACTACATAGATACTTCAATGAGGAACTCCACCATCTTTTTAATATCAACTTCAGAGTACTTGTATATAGAATCAGAAAGATTTTGAACAAAATAATTCTGTAGATGACTAATCACAAGATATGAAAATTTACGAGTTTCATAATGATTGAGGAAGCAGTTGTCTATGATATCAAAGAGCCTGCTCTTTAGTTTATCGTAAGGAATAGTTGTATAAAGCGTTGAAAAGCCATATGTTTTGATGATTTTGATATTTGAAAAATTTAGAGATTTTAAATTTTCCAAAAATTCTTCAGAGTTTTTGTTTAGAATCCACATTTGATTTACACTACTTCTTGAAAACGTTGTAGCACAATGCGACAGAAATTTCTCCTTCACAGCAGTTCATATGCTGGTGAGGAGTAAGGATAGGGGATTGGTTGAACATTTACTCAACTGGACCCTGCAATATATCTTTGTTTTAATGGTTTTTATGAAGTTTTGGAATCCAATAAATCCAATTTCATTGACTGGAATGCTAAATGTTTTTAAAACTTGAAAGGTGATTTTGAATAATTTCATCCTTTGAAAGGGAGCTGTGAATATAGCTTTGATTACTTGAAGTGGCATTAAATCTAAGTTCTTCTTAAATGCAGTTGTAATAATTAGCCTTACAAACCAAAACATATTTTCATGTAGTCTTTCCAATTCTTTTATCACTTCCGGTCTACTGAAAACGGGAAGGATAGATATAGTTCGCATTTTGACCTATAATTTGCGATTTTTTAATATATATATCTAATACGTTTAATCCATTTCTGACAAAGGTCAAGACTTTCCCCTTCTTATTTAGCCCATTCTAGCATACTCCTTGACGGAATTCACAACAGAAATGAAGTTATGTCGCTATTTGAAAGATCTGGACTCCCTGAATTTAGGATCTTTTGAAATTATAACTTTTACATTATGTAGGTCGCCATTTTAAACTATACTTTCATCATCAGTAATGACGTGCCCAGCTGCATTATAGTTGAAAAAAAGAGGAATAACAAGAACACTTATAAGGATTTTGTTTAAGGTGGTCAATATCACGCCCTATGTTTTTGTCTTAGGCTTGCCCCGTCGTGGCAAACAAGAATCGAACTCAGGCCTCTAACATTTAAAGATAATGATTGTAATTTTTTTTTCATTTTGCAATTTAAATACATGTATAATAAATTTAGTCTCACCTTGAGCCAGCAGAGAAAGGTATGTAACTATACGGATCTCGGTCTTGTCTTTTCTCCTCGTCAAATCTACGAGGTCGGAACTCCTGTAACCCAATTAAAAAAATTATGTGCCACATATCTGTCGATCTATTTGACAAATTTAAGCACTTATTGCTTCGAATTTCCCTACATTAGGAACTAATAAAACATATGAACAAATATTTCTGTGTATTAGGTGGCCATAGTTTTAAAGGTGTATTTTCATTTTTCCTGATTATTACACAACAAAATTTCATACTGAACGAAAAAAGTTGAACATATGTTCAACCGTCAGTTTTAAAATATAAAAGAGAATACGGGAAAAAATATTATACTTAAGCATTAAGCTTCCAAATAAAAATCTTAATTATTAAAATTGTACTGTATCCACATCTTGACATGTAAACCTGTGGATCAGACCAAAGATCTGGATGGTGATTTATGGCATGAAGAATGATATCAATTTTTGTTTTGGCGGGAATTGTAATGCCGTCTAGTGTGAGTGGTTTGGCTGTGACTCGACCGATGAAGGGGACGGGAGTATGCATCCTCATCACTTCTTTCAGGAACATCGACATGTATTTCAGTGAAGGGAGGTCGTCCCTATGAAGTGAAATGAGAAATAATCAAGAGATCAATTGGCATTTTTGGTGCCTTGCTTGTGAATATAAGTGAAGCTAAATTTCAAGTCTTTACTTGTCTCTAGATACATGTATAAGATCAATACCACTGCAGTTTGTCTCGCCCATTTAAGACTTCTATCACCTCTTTGTAAAGAGTTTCCTGTTCCTTTGGATGTTTTGCGAGACTGTATATAGCCCAGCTTATGGAAGAAGAGGTGGTGTCATGTCCTGAAGAAAACGATCTACTTAATTCAGAAACTACAGATTTGTGATAAGGTTGGATAAAACTGGTCAAGGAGTTATAAAGAAATACGTCAAAATGTAAAGAAGTCACGGCAGCAGAAACAGATAACAGAGCAGACAGAAAACACAGAGAAAATTTGTTTGGTAAAGAAAGGTTCATTCATCCTTTGTAATAGATGTGTTCTAAAAACAATTAAAAAAAAGAATTATCTGACCTTCAAAAAGAAATGTGTCCACTTCTGCACGAATATCAAGATCAGATAATCCTTCGCCTTGGTCATCTTTTGCTGTGATAAGTATGTCCAGGAAGTCACGTCTTCTTTTTTGTAACTGACCAGGATCATCAGCCTGTAATAATTTCATTCTATATAATTATATTTGAATGGTCTGTCCACGCTTATTTTAAATTATACTTGAATTCTAAGTGGATAAACTGGCATCAGTCTTCTCTGCTTACCAGTGCCTTTCTCCTTGATTGTATAATGTCATCTGCAAACTGGTGAACAAAGTCTATTAGTTTATAGAACTCCTTTCCTTCAGTGGATAGTTTATATATAAAATCAAAATACAGCCAGGGTTTCCTAAAATAGACAGAAACCTCAAATAAAATTTAATAAATACTTCAAAAAGAACAAATAACGGTCAATGAAACTGTTAAAATCTTTAATTTCAATCATGATGATTGTTCAGGAAGTAAAATTCAAGACTTGTATTTTTCGCTCAATTTGTACAATGACTCTTTTAAATGAATTACAAAATTTGTCTTAGGTAGTCAATGCTACTTACAGTGATCGGCTTACTGTCAGTTTTGCCAGGTTTCTCACTGCTTCTGCGTATGGATGATTCGTTCTATCGAAAACAAAAAAAATATTTTATTGAATAAATTATTGTTATGTGGTAATTTTGCTTCAATTTTTGATATGACAGAAATGAAAAACAAGTTTTGAGACACACATATTTGTTACCGACACATTTGGGAACTTACCCTTTCTCCTGCACGTGACCTTCGTACGAGAGGGAACATCGCAACATGGTGTCTAGAGCCGCCAAAGTGACTAGACTATAAACTTCCACACTCTCCTTGGCATCGCAGAACATCTGAAGTTTTCCCTTTAAGATTAAACCAAATACAAAACTCTGTCAACTATTGGAGAAGAAAGAATATATTCGAAGATACAACTGTTAGCCACTTAGTTGTATATATCTAGGTAATTGTCGGAGAGCTATATGTATATTAAGTGTGGAAACCGGTCACCGATAATGTCATTTGGTTATAAATGTCCATGGAACTTTCAAAGAAAATCAATAGGTTAAATTATTAATCACAAAAAAAACTGTACGTGTATATTGGTTTGCTACTTGACTGTAAGTTTCGATTTATGATCGGAGAATAACAAATGAATAAAATAATTACCAGAAATATATCAGCCACTTCGTTATAGATGTCGACATAAGGTCGGAGGATGTCAAAGTGGAAAGCTGGAGTCAGAAGTCGTCTGTTTCTTTCCCATTTCTCTCCGTCTGACAGAAGCAAACCGTCGCCTATATTGAAAAGACAATTTCCAATTCTAAACTTTGATACGAAAGTCGAAGATTTGTAGTGTACAATTCTGTACATTGTCAAATCTACTGGGTATTAAAATAACTTAAAAAAGACAGACAAATTAATAATCATATTTTACAGAAATCCCTATTCTTTACAATTACATATTAATAGAAAATAGGAAGTAAAAACCTCTACTGTAATAAAATCAAAGAATCGCATTTTGAATCTATACCTAACCATGGTTCCACCAGTCTGTAGCCCACGACGTCATGTTTGGGTTTAGCATTTGTCTCCTTTATGACTACTTTAGCTGTGTCAGGGTGACAAGTGCTTATCAAAGGTACTATAAACATAATCCAACTACAAACAATCTTCGCCCGAGTTTTCTCCATAACTTCAGACACGCGAGAACAATATTCCGCCATGTTCTGAAACTGAATGGGTATTGTGAAATTTAAGTGGCAAAAAATCCATCAATGAATATATATTTGTCAAAAATTGTTGTCAAAGAATGATATCAGGCTGAAGCTTCTATTACAGCAATTACCTAACTAATAAATATTTCAACTCAAACGTACGTTGTCAAAGAATAATATCAGGGTGAAGCTTCTATAACAGCAATTACCTAACTAATAAATATTTCAACTCAAACGTACGTTTTTCAGAGTTCTTGATAAATCACCATGGTTTATAGTTTCTTTAAGGGCTTCTCAATTTCGTTTCATGAGTCGAACAATTCCGATGAAGTGGAATTACCTAAGCAACCAAGGCAAACAACTTAATTAAAAAAGAACTGGCAGCTTGACATGGTCCCATCGTTGCCTTCAACTGACTTTGCACATTTTACTTATTTCAAGATAACCTGTATTAAAATCTCTTTATAGATATGTCCATATCGTCAGGGTAGCTCATTCGGTAGAGCACCTGCTTGGTGATCAGAAGGTCGTGGGTGCGAGCCCCGACCACGCAACAAAGCTTGGTCGGTATAAAACAGGTAGCAACTGTTCCTTCACCAAGCATCCAGCACTTTGAAATGAAAGTTGCAGGTTTTTCGAATGACACCTTATAAACGGAGGCGTGTCACGACAGGTGTTAAAGAACGCTAAAGATTCCTCAGGGCTTAATGGCCCTCAGGAAACTCAAGATCCACCAAAGGAAACTGATAAGAGACAGGAGAAACACACTATATCAGCTGGTTAGCCGGAGAATGGCTACCGTGAAGACCAGAACTGAAAACATTCAACCATCTGTTTCAAACAGGGAGACTGTAGGGAATCTCGAAAAGGATCTAAGGTTACTCAAGAAAATCTTTCAGACGGTTTGAATTAATGTGAAAATTAGGTTGCCAGTGAATGGGAGAAGTTCGACGGGGATATGGGCAGGCTTCTTGAAATAAAACTTAAAGAAACTTTGAAAAGATATTGAACAAGAGACCCATGGGCCACATCGGTCACCTGCGCACTTTGGCTAGAAAAAAGCAGAAAGCAGTTCAGCTTTGAAAAGTTTAAATATAAAAGTGGTCCCGACATTTGATCTTCTATTGAGGCCTTGCCTAACCCCCAGGGACATGATTTGAATTTGAATCTACACCACCTGAGTATGCTTCTGAATTATTATGAATAATAATGGCTTTGCTGTTCTTGAGAAGAAATTTTTTATTTATTTCTTTGTTTGACGTTGATCCCCTGTTGTGGACTCCGCCTACCCGCAAGGGTCATGATTTTAAAAAAATTGAATCTACAATACCTAATGATACTTCCATAAAAATATGAGCAATCATGGCTTTGCTTCTTGAGGAGATTTTTAAATAATTTCCTATGTATTCTTATGTAATACTTTGATTGTAAATTGTAGCCCCTCCCATGGGTCAAAATTTGAACAAACACACTTCTAAACTACTTGAAGATGCTTTTTTTTTTTTTATAAATATGACAAATCATGGCTTTGCTGTTGTGGAGAGGATTATTAAAGATTGTTCTCATGTATTCCCATGTAAAATTTTAACCCCCCCCCCCATTGTGGCCCAATCCTACCCGCTGGGGGTCATGCTTTGAACCAACTTCCATATAAATATGACCAATCAAGGTTTTGCTGTTCTTGAGAAGATTTTTAAACATTTTTCCTATGTATTACTATGTAAAACTTTGATCCCCCATTGTTGTCCCACCCTACCCCCGGGGTTCTTGATCTGAACAAATACACTATCTGAGAATGCTTCCTTATCAATATGACTAAACTTGGATATGCTGTTCTTGATAAAAGATTTGTAAAGATGAAGATGTTTTCCTATATATTCCTATGTAAAATTTTCATCCCCAATTGTGGCCCCACCCTATCCCCGGGGGTCTTGATTTGAAAAAAAAAAATGAATTTACACTATGTAAAGGAGTGAATTTACACTATGTAAAGAAGATTTTTAAAAATACCACTAAATTTTCACTATTTCTTAATTATCTCCCCTTGAAAGAGGGCGTGGCACTACATTTGAACAAATTTGAATCCCTTTCACCCAAGGATGCTTTGTGGCAAGTTTGGTTGAAATTGGCCAGTGGTTCTTGAGAGGAAGTCGAAAATGTGAAAAGTTTACAGACGGACAGACTGACAGTCGGAAAAAATGTGATCAGAAAAGCTCACTTGAGCTTTCAGCTCAGGTGAGCTAAAAACATGAAAAGAATTTATCATGGCAGAGTACAGATTTGGTGGAAGGGAAACAAAAAGAGAGAAGACTGAACCATCCAATTATATGTAGAAAGTTAAGAAGAGGGAAATAGCAACATTCAGAGGGAACTCCGAGCACTCGAAGACAGTGACGAAAAGAGAAAAAGGCCGAACCGACTCTATACGACCTTTGGAAGAGACTCACAAAGCTAAGAAATGCAGAGAGAGAGAGTTGGGAACAAGAATCGAAAGAAAAACGGAGTAAAGAAAGAGATCGGCTTTCTCAGGAATCCATACAAGTTTGCATTAAGGAAGCTCTAAACACTTTGAGAAAACTGTATCATTTAAAGGTGCACAGACTGAGTTTATCTAGTTCATTTTCAACATAGGGTACCTGCCATATTGATCCGGGACAAATTTTCAAATACAATGAAGCACAAGAGAAATGAAATCATTGTTGTTTACTTACATCAGGAAAATACATGCAAAAATGTTTTAATTACTTTATCTTAGTAATATACTGTTTGGAATACAATTATCTGTTTCAGATTGTGTCATTTACTGTATATTTCCACTTATTCCTTTGTTCATCAAAGGGCAGAAAACTCTAAATGCATATAATTACCAGGTAATTAGAACTCTTCAGTGAGCAGTGTTTCGAGCTTTCTTAAAGGATCTGGGAAGCTTTAAAAACGAAGAGAAAAGGTAAAAGCATACATGAAGGAACATACTCGGATAAGATCAGAGACCAACCATATGGTAAGAACGACAGAATAGAAGCTGTCATACCACCCCAGAAATTCTAAAACACCAAAGAACCAACATTGAAAGATATCAGAGAGGTGGTGAAGAAAGCACTTGTGGCATCAGTGCCAGGACCAAACGGTGTGAAACACAAGATCAGTATGAGTATGATCAGTATGAGTATGGAGAATGATGAGGGTCAACTGAAGGAAAGGCCACATACCAACATATACTAAAAAATAGAAGAAGAATGCTTTGTGCCAAAGGAGAAAATCTCTAAAGAGATTATACAGTTCAGCATTATATCACTTCTCAATGTAAAAGACAGGATTTTCTTCGCAGTGCTTGCGAGAGGGGGATGATGTCCCACACAATAGAGAACAGATATAACGTGGATACATCAGTGCATAAAGGGAGTATATCGGGGTTCATACGATGCCTAGATAGAACAATGGTGTCATATCACTACAAATAAAGGAAGCGAAAGACAATAAAAGCATGTTTCTGGTTAAATCCGGTTAACGGTAATGGTACAGTCCCCGATAAATTCAGCAGTTGGGCACTTCCATATACCAGAGAAGATCGCCAAAATCCTTAAGGACTACATAAGAAAGAATACTCCAGCTCAAGATTCACTCTGAAGATACCATCGATCATTGACAACCCCATCAGAAGTCTAGGCAAATGGAATGACGATACCAATAAGGACTTCAACAACAGCAGACTTTTAGAATAAGAGATAATAAGGACTGCTTAATAAAGACAAAATAGACTTGCCCAGGAAAATTGAGACGTGATCTTTCAGCATCAACTCCTACCAAGGCTTATTTGGCCACTCATGCTTCCGTATACAAGGAATCGGTTTGCCCGCGTGTCGCAGTGGATAGAACGTTTGCACTAGAGTCGCTGTGTAAAGAGTTGATCCTATCGTCGCGGGTTCGAATCCCACTGCGGGACGCGGAGACCGGTCCTTCGGATGAGCCCGTGTAAACCAAAGTCCCGTGTCGCAGTGCTGGCACGAAAAAGATCCCTCACTGCTCAATGACCTTGTGTGCCGAGTAAAGGTTTATATTTGCAGTCCTCCACCGCCAAAAGGTGGCGTCTCCATGAGTGAAAAATTCTCGAGAGGGACTTTAAACAACTAACAAATAAAAACAATGAATCGGAGTCGGATACCACCGGCTTTTCATTAATCAGACTTTACAGCAAGACTGTCAGGTTACGCCATCAAAGGTATAGGCAGGCGTTGGCTCGATAAAGATCTCTCACTGCTCAATGGCCCTAAGTTCCGAGTAAAGGTGTAACTTTGAAGCCCTTCGTCGGTATATGGTCACGTCTCTATATGAGTGAAGAATTCTCGAATTGGACGTAAAACAATATACAATCAATCAATCACATTTTTCCAAATCAAGTTCCTACTAAGAGCTATGTATGATGTATTTGCCAACACTAAGAAATCTGAGGATCAGAAGAATGACAGAGACCCGTTGTGCCCAACATGCCAAAAGCCAAATTCTCATTTTGCCAAGTTTCCCTTACCCAGGAAAGGTATAGGTGGACGCATATACAAATCCTCAGAACACTAGCCCAGACAATGTACATTACAGACAGAGTTGTAGAAGAACCACAAAAACTCTGGAAAACCACTCTCGTCAGAGGTGGGGAGCAGACAATTTGGACCTCTACAGAGCAAATTGAACATGGCAAGATACTGGGAACTGCAAGTCGACCCTGAAAGGAAACTAATATTCTGACCAATAATAGATACCACCCAACAAATAAATCGGGTCTCCTACTCATATCTGAGAATCTGAGAATATGAAGAATCCGTTGGCTAATAATACCATGAGGCTCGATGTCAGGAGGCCCACTAACGCAAACTCACAAAGTGTGACGATCTGGTGCATGACTAAAGGCAAGAAGAATGACAGAAGTGGAACTTCCCAGTCGAAGTGAGACAAGAGTTTGTCCAGGAAAATCAAGCTGGAGGATGATGACAGCACTGAGACTAAGTATAGGAGGAGATGAAGGCAGTCAGCGCCATGGCCGTGGCGGCCGAGAGGACATCGAGGTGATTGTGGCTACGATTAATTGATTGTATGCTGTTTATCGTCCCATTCGAGAATTTTTCACTCATATAGAGACGTCACCATATACCGGTGAAGGGCTTCAAATTTTGACCTTTACTCGGCACTCAGGGCCATTGAGCAGTGAGGGATCTTTATCGTGCCAACGCCTGCCGTGACACGGGGCTTCGGTTTTTAAGGTCTCATCCGAAGGACGCGCAACTTTCACTTCAAAGTGCCGAGTGCATGGCGAAGGAACAGTTGCTACCCATTTTTTTTTATCGACTTAGGTCAGTCGCGGCCGAGATTCGAAGTCACGACCTCCCGATCAGGGAGCGAGCGCTCTACCGACTGAGCTACCGTGAACGGTGATTGTGGCTACGAAGAGAACACAATACTGGAAGCTTAATCGTTGCTTGTAGAAGACTGATCACCTTCTGCTGCCCCGCTATCGTTGTTCTAGATCAGAGAATGAAACCTCTGGAGATCGATGGACCCGGCTGATGATTTGACAGTCCAGCAGCAGAAAGCCCAAAGCTGTTTTAGGTACTTTTGTACCTCTGTGATCTGGAAGAATTTTTGACAGAAACGAATACCATTGGTCTCCCTAAGGGTAGACCTGCTAAGGACAATTTTATAGGTATTTTGTTTCAGAATTGTAAAAGTGTCTGATTATCAGGGATTATAATTTCACGCTCATGTTCACCCCAAATTTATAACTAATGTTAATGCATGGATTGGTCCATTCTCCTTCTAGCTAGACTTTATTCTCATTCCTTGTTTGTTCCACTGTATTATATAAGTATATATGTTGTTGTACTCATGTATTATGAATAAACTAATATGAAAGGAGAGCTTTGTCCCCATCAACTCCCTTTCCCCAAAGGTTCTAAAACTCTTCGCTGGTTTACCCTCACTTAAATAAAAATACAACCTACACCACTGAATGTAACATATAATGAATGTGAATGCAGAGCTTTTCTTGATAGCTGTTTTATGGAGGATTATAATCAAATCAGGGGTATCACTACCGATGACGTGGATCAAAAGAACAAACTCGTCAATATTTAAAATCATCTTCGGGCCGGAAAATGACCATCGTCATTCCGGCGTTATTCGCAGAGTACGGAAAACAGACAAGAACATGGAGTTAATATTTTATCATCATCTTCAGCTTTACATAAATATTACACTTTTGACATAATTAAAATTAATGATAAAGAAAAACATGATCTCAATGAAATTAACAATTAAGCCAGTCTACATCCTACCAGGTGCAGGTGTCCCCAAACTGGGTGAGTGGGTCCTAACTGCGTCATCCTGTCTGTGGAGTTCTTGATTCTTCGATAACGTGTGTAGAACATGACCAGGTAAGACAAACCGAACACAACCAGGAGAGATATCAAAATGGCGGTAATCATGATACAGGCAAACTCCTACCTCCCATCAACTAGAAAATTAAAAGAATGTCAGTTGTCAATCGATTAGGTCAAATAAACGCTTATTCTGTCTTCTTTAATCTTTCTAGAAATCAGTGAAACACATCATTATCCCACAAGATAGTCGCCCTGCATTACTCAACGGAATTTTAACAACCACTTTGCACAAACGTTTCTTCCGTCCAATACAAAGCTATGAACATACGCAACGTAGTTTTGAATTTAACTTTCTTATTGCTTGTAACAGTTAAGAGTTCCAATAAGTGAAGGACATTTGTGCGCAATTTTGATGCCTGGTTATGCTGCACATTTCTTCTGAATCAAATTTTAAAGGAATACCAGCTAAAACTACATTTTTTTTTAAATTTTTCTTTTAAAAACACAAGGATTTACATCATATGATATATGTTCAAAACTCCCGGTAATGTATGCTGACTTTTTATATAAGAACATCTGATGGTTATATGATTTTTAATTAAGAATATCTTGGAAAAATTATCAGTCGGAAAGGTATGCTGTGAAGTACATGTATGTGACCTTAACACTAACGCTTAAATAAAACCCCAAAACATTTTGGTAAAAGCAAAGAACAGATCTTATACACACGACTTAGACCTAGTAGTGTAGAACACTTAATTCCCATTTATTTCCAAAACATAATCATAATAGATAATCCAGTTTGTGTTTTTGGAAAAAATGAAACAACAAACTTTTTCTCGAATATTCCTCTACAATGACAAAAGAATCATTGACCTATTAGGACTAGTAACTTTAAATATTCTCTTAATTAATATATGGAGATCCAACGGGGAATTATTCCTTTATAATACAAACATTTTTAAACACGCATATCATTTTATTTCTGCATCAAAAAGATTAGTAAGTTGAGTCTAATCGAAGTTTTCGTCCTTGTGGCCGCATTGTTAATGAATATTTATGTATGTACTTATGCTATTCTTTATTCCTATTCCTTTTCTAATTATTGTTTGTATTATATTTTTCATGCAACAAGGGAAAATTGAAAGTTAATATGAGGAATGGATAAACATAAGTTAAAACAACTTGTTTCCGAATCCTGTATATATTATTTATTGTGTACATATGTGATGACTTATTTAAATGAAATAAAGTTTGAATAAATATATCAGTTGACAATGCGCTCTATATAATTTAGATTTACATGTATGAAACTTAAAGATAAATTTACTAATCTAGCACTAATATTACGGAAAAAAATCTTTCTGAGACCCCTCAAGGTTAACACTTCAATTTGTTGGCATCGATATCAAATGTAAGACTCATAAACCCTCTGCTAACTCATATAAAATCTTCTTTTAACTTTTATGATGTTTATGAAAGAAATGTATTTTCCAAGTAAAATACAAACAATAGGTTGCAGGGCAAAATTAAAAAAGAAGAAGATATATCAACTTTGCAAAATAGACATTTATGTCATTAAGAGTTATCTCTCTTATCAGAGCATCAATGAACCTTAAAAAGCGCAGATATTTTAAGGTAGGTCCCTACTCGAGTGACGTCATCGATAATGGTATTTTATCAAAATACATAATTGTGAATAATAGAATTAATGTAAACTTTTTAAAATTAAATTGTATTAATATTTAAAATAAAATTGTATTCATATGAGTTTGGTGTGAATTTGATTCCATGTCTAAAAAGGTTTTTATCTTCAACTTTGAAAAATGTTGAAACTGACGTATATACACATGTACATTGTGCAACATACATCTACTATGCATACAGTATTTACAATAATAACTAATTTCATAAAAATAGTAATATAGTTCCTTTTTTTATTGAAATACAGTCTCTTACTGTTTATCAAAACAAACATTGGTCAAGATGTGTATTTTTGGGGCTTTTTGATTACATAACATACTACCGTCTAATGATTTAAGTGGAAAAAATATTACTTTTACCAAAAATATGCCGAGTTACTGTTAGGACCTATACCTCAAACTTGTATTTTTGACGTATATTCGTTTGACAAAAACTGCGCACCATACACAGATTGACCAATACATTGAATACATTACACAATGTTTAATGGGAGTTGCACCAAAGTGACCAGTATGGTGATCTTGTAAAGTCTTTCGTCAGAAAAAAACCCAAAAATATTAGTGAAATATTTCACCGAGTTTATAAATGCCAACTTACCCAAGCTACAAATTTAACATAACATTCGGTGTAAAATGTTTAATGTCCACCCTTGAAACTCACATGAACTGGCGTTACAGCGTGAAGTCCGACAAAGTACGGAACACGGATATGAACATGGATAGGGTACTTTAAGCCCGTACACGCGCTGAAATTAATTGTAGTGTGTGTATCGGGTAAATATTAGACACATGAGACTACTTCTGCAGGAAACAGTGCACTGCTTTATATCAAGTAAAGTTGCATGCAATTTTTCATCAGTAACCAAGAGGAGTATGCAGGTTATTTCTGTACTCGCAAACGAAAGAAAGTCTTTGTGTAAGACCTTTACCCTTATTAAAATGTGTGCTTTTAATCAGCTAATATTATCACCAAAAAATTCTTAATAAGTTGCAATACACAAGCAAATGACCAAATGTTTTATTAAGAGTGTACTTGGACTTTTCTGAATGTAGTACAATGAAATATCAGTATACAACTGTTTTAATATTTATGTACAATTTTGGAGGAAAAATAGAAGAAATGTACGCAATATTAGTTGCAGCGTGAGTACAACAGAATTAAATGCATTAAAAATTGGATGAAATTAATTACATCCTAGTCGGAGATATTTCAGTGATGAATATAAAGGGTTTATTTCATATCCCAAATCATCACTCTCTACCATCGGCTCATACATTCACCTCTGTCGTTGGCTCGCGTATATTACAGTGATAAGCACAAGAAATATAGTTCGTTTCTTTTAATTCATTATAATTAAATGTCTGGGGTAATGATAGTCCTTAAAGATAGATATTTAATAAATAGATTTAAAAATATATATTTAATTTAAATAATCCTTGAAATGTCATGTTTTTTATAGTTATGTCAAAAATCTTGACGTGAGCCCATATTGCAGAGGTGTATGAGAGAAGAACGAACGACAATTCTGCATAGGAGATTGCCAAATCATTTCAAATCCTCGACTGATTAACTTGAACAAGTTATTGTCATTTTTTAAGTTTCATTATAATTTACGTCATTTTTTTATCTTCACTTCCATTATTAGATAAGACTGATAGTGATAGTACATTTAGCAGCCATTTAAAGAATATTCCCATATGAAAAATGTTACTATGTAAAAATGCAACTACGGAACATTGAATTTTGTAAATATGGAAAATTGTTGCACAATCAAATTAGAAAGAACTATGAATTACAAGACTGTTTGAAATTTCCAATTAATAAATCAGTATGTTCTATAATTAAATAATGGTAATGGTAACATAAAAGGTAATCTAACAACAAAGCTTTATGATAAATGTGATGACTTTTAACTTTTCAATCGTCAACTTCCCTTACTTATGCAGCAATATACCCTTATCACCAGCATACGGGGTTTATGTCTCTCAGTTGATTCGATACGCCAGAGCATGTTCTACGTATGAACAATTTCTAAAACGAGGTAAGTTATTGACAAACAAGTCGATGAAACAAAAATATCAGCAGTCTCGTTTAAAGCATTTCGTAGGTTCTATGGTCGATTCAATGACCTTGTCAGCAAATATAATCTATCATTTAGTCAAATGCTGACTGACTTTTTTCATACTAATTTTTAGGCCATTATTTACACATTATTTCCCGATCATTACAAGGAGCACACGGCGGGTGTGACCGGTCGGCAGGGGAGGGTCACTCCTCCATGGTACCTGATCCCCCTTCTGATGTCTTAGAGGTCCGTGTTTGCTCTGCTCCTATTTTGTAATGTTTAATGAACTTTTGAGCTCGAATACTGTTCGTTATCTCCACATATTTCATAAGAAAAACCATGAATTACAAGACTACCAGTACTTGATATTTCCAATGGAGAATCAGTACGTTCTAAATTAACAAAGCTGAGAATTTCTGCACACGTACATGTACCCTTCAGAAATTGAAAACTTGTAGGTACTCAAACCTATGTCTTGTTTTTGTCACCCGTGTAAAACTGTTGATTAATGGAATACATTTCAACTATATATGATTGTTCTACATATAGTGATAAAATGAAAATGCACTGTAATCACTTAATTTTTTGTGGATTGCTGGGAGAAAAAAAAAAAAAAAAAAAAAAAAAAAATATATATATATATATATATATATATATATATATATATATATATATATATATATATATATATATATATATATATATATATATATATATATATATATGGATTTGATTTTGTGATTGAAAAAAAACTTCATACTGTTGTAAAGAATTTTAATATTTGACAAGGACATGAATTCTTGAAACTCTACATACTGAAAATGAGTCATTTGGAAATTTACTCATCCCATCAACAACTTTTCTAATTTAATTAATAATTCAATTTCAATAAATACTTTTTCCTTACCTATCTACTCAAAGTTTTTATCTTGAGTTAGGCAAGCAAACATTTTATTTAGAGATGGCCTTATGCATCACAATATACTTATATATATATATTAAGTATTTCAAAAAAAAGAAAACTGGTCCATAGTTCAAGTAGTGAATCATATCAATGTATCAATTTACCCAAAAGGACTCGAAATGAAGGGGGCAACCGGCTTTTAAATGACCATTTTGATACTTAATTGAAAGTAAAACACTAGATTTGGCAAAAATGGTGGATGGGAGGTGAGGGTGGGTGGGAGTTCCCTCCCCCTATACTATTTAGCTGGAGTAAGTCATAAAACAAAACTTATCATTTTATTAGATTTCATAGGGTAAGATATGCTAAATTATACAGTAAAACATAATAATATGTTTATCTTTTCAGCTTAAATAAAACAAAGCATATCTAACAATGTTTGACATGTACATGTATATACGTATATAAGAGGCATTATGTTATTTCTGAAAGAAAAGTTGCAACTGTGACAGTATAAAACTATGTTTTTGCCAACTCTTATATACAGGTAAATTACTTTTTATTACATATCATAATATCTTTATTTTGAGTCCTTTGGGTAAACTTGCACACCCAATCATATCAGATTTTCAATTCTTTTAAAAACACATGTCAACTGTCACTCAAAATTACCTCAAAGGGCTGAAAAATATAATTTTCACAAATCATACTGGATAACTTTAAAACTTACGCATTTGTCTCTTAAAGGCTATTTAGCTTATAAACATTTAGCTTTATGTATTTATCCACAGACAATTCGGGAATTAAAAGTTTTACATCATTACAAAAAAAATGGACATGCAAAATTGTTCATAATAATTTTATTTACCAATCATATCATTGATACAACAAAACTTCTTAAGTTTAACATACACATCCATAGTATTTTAACATCAACCTGATATTCACAATGTTGCCAAGTCTAATGCACACTTAATGAGTGCCTATACACACTTAATGTCACACAGTCAGTTGGGTCCCCCCTATTATTCTAATTCAACTACACCACCAACAGCCTCTATGGTCGATTTAAGTTTTTCAGCCTCTTCCTTCATGATATCAGCCTTCACGACTTGTGGCACTGCTTCCACAAACTTCTTAGCTTGAACAAGATTAATGTCAGGAATGATGTTTTTAAGTTCCTTTATCAGAGTGATTTTCTTAGAATCGTCGAACTTGACGAGTTTTACTGTGAATGCATTCTTTTCTCTCTTTGGCGCTACCTCCTCTTCCTCTTCCTTGGGAGCTGCCACTGCAGGTCCAGCCATAGCCATCACAGGACCATCTTTAATCTTTAGTCTCGTTTTTAAAAGTTCATTCAAATCACAAACTTCAAGTAAAGTTAATTGACTTATCTCATCCACGATTCTCTCGATTTTGGGTGAGTACTCTTTCTCCGTTCCTTGAATTTGCGGTTCCTGTAACTGTTCTGCCGCAGAACTGTACTCCTTTCTGGAACACCATTGCATTGAACATAATCTCTGTGTCTGTCTTTCTCTATTCTGTTTGTTGAATTGACGGGCAACATTGTAGCAAATCCGTAATGACCTGTGAGACCTCATAGTTTTGTAAGCCAGCATGGTGACCATTTGACCCGTCTACATTAATTGACTTTCAAACCCGACAAATAAATTTGAAAGGTATTTGTTTAAAGGGCCAACTTAGAATATTCTTTCACGAACACTGATATTAGTATTTACATTTACATTTCATTTATAACACGTTTACGTTACGTAAATTATATTTCCCCCATCAATTGAACAAATCGAAGAAGTAGAAATTTAATTTCAATCGGGTTCGCTAAACAAAGTTCAGTTATTTCCCTTTTCAACGAGAAATCGTACACAAAAACACGTGTGACATGGGAGGAGAGAGGAAAAAGAAGGTTTGTGTTGTTATTAATTGATTTTTTTACTCTAAAGAGATCATTTATTCGGCAAAACATAGAGTTAAAAAACCACAGGTACAGTATCGACGCCAAAATATTGTATCAATTGACAATATTAAAAACTATCAATCCAGAAATAACTCACTTTGACATATCCATGGCATTTGAGATATCAGAGTTGAAGATAACAGAGATCACCTGTACATGGTTATTAAAACTACATATAACAATTTACAAATGTTATTTTTTTCAGTACAGCATATTATGTATATATTTATAATATGCAGCATGGCTTTCAGCAATTTTAAACAATTAAACATCAGATACTCTTTTTCTTTTTTTTTTTTTTTGGTTCTATGCATGTATGAGGATATATATTGACATTGAGTCTGATGACATATAAGAAAGACAACAGAAATTAAAATGAGTATGTATGTTTATTGTTTTGGTCAAGTCTGGTTTTGTATGTTGCAGTATGAACGAGGAGAAGCTACAGCGTTTATGTCCAGAAATCAAGCTGTCAACAAACTTCAGCTGACACTGGCAGATTTCAGGTAACACTGTTTGAACACTATCAGGGAATAGGTTAAATTCCAGTCATGTATCATATGTTTTTTAATACATAGATATATCTTGTAGCTTCATTAGTGAAAAAAAAATTAAATGTAAATTATGGGATGCAAACTTCTTATTCTTTTGAAGACGCTTATGCATTCTGAAAGGAATATATCCTCATGAACCCAAACACAAAAAGCGAGTAAACAAAGGAAGCACCGTTCCAAAGACGTACTACCTAGTCAAAGACATCAACTTCCTGGCTCATGAACCAATCATTAACAAGTTCAGGGAGTTCAAGGTCAGCAATCTGCTGAAAATGATAAATATAAAAAGCTGTTTAGTTCTACCTGAGTTAAAATTATTATGATGACGTTATGTATTTTAATGTAGCACTTTGTAAGGCGTCTTAAGAAGGCCATCAATAAAAGAAACAAAGATGCAGAGCAAAGAATCCGCAGCAACAAGCCCAAGTATAAAGTTGACCACATTGTGAAGGAAAGGTAAGGCAACATCTTTTAAATCAACATTGAACCATTGAAGGAAAACATGATACGCAAGAGGAAGACATCTATCAATCTGTTTTTGGTTTGATGAATGGAGTTACCACAGTCATTAATAATTTATTGATTTGTGAAGTTCTTTCAAATTGCCACTCCTTTTACAATTTTGAGTGGATATCCGTAAAAGTTGAAACACCTTTAGAAACATCATTCATAATTCATTAAATGTAAAACTCAAACAAGAAATTTTATGATTCCAAGTTCAACTTTCTCTCACGATCATGTTTAAACAAGTAGAGCTGTTTTTCTCGGACACTTTTGGTGATGATTATATGATTATCTGTTTTGAAAATGAACATGGCCCATTATTTGAAAGAAGAAATCAGTCCCATATCCAATATCTGCTTTGGGAAAATTTTGTTTGAATTTGGCCATTGGCAAGTGGTTCTAAGAAAGAGAAACACATTAAAGTGTAGACAGATGATGGACAGTTTACTCAGATAAGGAGTATATGTATTCTACTTTTGCAGATATCCTTCATTTCAAGATGCACTGGGAGACCTTGATGATTGTCTGTCCATGTGTTTTCTGTTTGGCACAATGCCACAGAGTGCACGGATACACATGGAGTACATCAACCATGCCCGGAAACTCACAGGTAAATTATCAACTAATATGAAAGTTCTTAAAGTAAATATAACTATACAGCTTTCAAAGTAAATCTTATTTCTAGAAGACTTACCAGGTTAACTTGTGTGAAGGACTTATGGGTTGTAAATCATATTCTGTCAAATTTATTTATGAAATCGAACTGAAATGTAATATACGATTAATCTATGTAAATTGTTTATTAATGTTAATTTTTCATATTCCAGTGGAGTTTATGCATTATATTATAGCATCACGATCACTAAGAAAGGTAAGTATATCCAGATGAAATCATGAATCAGCTTGACATAAAATAGCAGATACTTTACAGAAATTTCATCACATGTATCCATTATTGTATTAAATATATAATGTAAAATTAATATTTTTCTTTTCTTAAAAGGTTTTCATTTCCATAAAAGGAATATACTATCAGGCAGAAGTGATGGGACAGCCTTTGACTTGGGTGGTACCTCACAGTTTAGGATTTCAGGTATAGTGATGTTATTAGACAATGAATCGGGTGGTTTTCAGTTTCTATGATTTCAGGTAAGATAAGGTCACGAGACAGCCTTGACTTGTTTGGTGCCTCACAGTGTAGGATCTCAGGCATAGTAATTGTGATGTTATAAGATAGACAGTTGATTTGGGTAAACATTGTTTTGGTCATCTTCGCTAGCCAAGGGTTTCTGATATGCTACTCTCCATGAGGAGAGTAGCGGATCAGAAACCCTTGGCTAGCGAAGATGTGTTTCGGTAATTATCTGATAAAGTATTTGGTAATGTTATATAAATATTTTCGGTATTGATCAAATACCATATTGATTTTCGACAATGCAAGATTGCGATTTCAGATAGATGAGCTGATGAGGCAGACATTGGGTTTTTGGTACCACATTCGTACAGTCTAGGGTTTCTCATGTTCTGTATAATTAGGATGTTGATATTTAGACTATGTATATAACCATGTGAAAAATTTATCTTATCGAGTTTGTAATTTTTTTTAGCATCCAGAAGATGTGGACTACAAAGTGATGCAGACTTTTGTAGAACTTTACACAACATTACTGGGATTTATAAACTACAAGCTCTACCACAGCCTGAACTTACACTACCCACCAAAGGTACACTTTTACCACAGTGCCACACACTACCCATTAAAGGTACACTTTTATCAAGTGCCACACACTACCCACCAAGGGTACACTTTTACCACAGTGCCACATACTACCCACCAAGGGTACACTTTTAACACAGTGCCACACACTACCCACCAAGGGTACACTTTTAACACAGTGCCTCACACTACCCACCAAAGGTACACTTTTAACACAGTGCCACACTCTACCCACCAAAGGTACACTTTTACCACAGTGCCACACACTACCCACCAAGGGTACACTTTTACCACAGTGCCAAAAACACTACCCACCAAAGGTACACTTTTACCATAGTGCCACACACTACCCACCAAAGGTACACTTTTACCACAGTGCCAAAAACACTACCCACCAAAGGTACACTTTTACCACAGTGCCACACACTACCCACCAAAGGTACACTTTTACCACAGTGCCAAAAACACTACCCACCAAAGGTACACTTTTACCACAGTGCCACAATCTCATCTGACAGGAAAGGTGTACAAGCACAGTATGAATGGAATATCAACGCTCTCCAAAGTGTACTCTTGGTTCATTGTAAAAAAAAAAATGCATTTGCACTAGTCATCAAAAAATACACTCTCTTCAGGCATGCAGCTGTGCCATCTCAACATGCAATTTAGCTTACTAAATTTAAATCTTACATTATTTAAAGTAATTTGTTTATATTTGAAATGAGGATAATATATGTCAGAATAAGGCTGTGCCTAATCATTATTCGTAGTGTGGATCACCCACTAGTATACCCTGGTTACTCCTGGTATTACCCTGGTACTTAAATTAATGTGTAATAGCTATCCCACAGACACAAAAGTATACTTTGCAGTGTAATGGATGAGATTTCATTGTTTGATAATTAATTAAGTCAGTTTTGTTGCTGATTAGCTGATTATTCTGTTTTCCAATAGTTGATAACATATTAATTTAATTGTGACATGAATTACTATATTTTAATATCAGCTAGAGTTGGAGACAGACGCCCCTGCTGATGAGAGTGAGGAAAAAATGACAGAAAAGGAACGATTTCAAGAGGTGAGTCAGTGATGTAGACTAAAGTATACAATGCAATTCTTTGCATTGCCTTCAATCAGTAGTTTCATTTTACCATTTCATGTGTTAAATATGCCCTTCTGTCTATAGATTTTATGTGTAATGGTCTGATATTTAGTTTTCAAGCACACTTTTTTGTTTTTGATTCAAACAACTTCACAAGTACATGTACTAGAATGTAGTTTTTCGACATTTTTATATGAATAGAAATGACTTAGCTCATTAATCTTTCCCTTTTCCTGAAAATATCTATTATCCAGTACTGTTTGGCCATTCTCTTTTTTTCCAGAGATTATCAGCCTTTTCTCAGTCTCTGAAGTCTATAGACGAGGGTGGGGGAGAGGATGAGGTTCAATTAGACGAGTTTCCTGCCACTGAGGTAAGTCTCTCCTTATCTAAGCACAATACTTTTAAAAGATTCACCACTTGCCTCAATTTACTCAGTATACATGTATTCATATATTATAATATTTCAACCATTAGGTGAATTTTTAGCCTTGTAACTCAGAACACTTTTTTTACAACATATATTTATTACAAAGGTACATTGCTTAAATATATTTTGTCTTAAAACATGGATGTACAGAACTCAAGTTGAATGACTCTTGATATCAATTTTTATATTACACTCCTTGGTAGTACTGTGGAATCATCATTGTTCATGGGGGACCAAGAAACAATTATTTTGTCAAAATATATATTAATGGAATCTTTTCTATATACGAGTGTACCCAAGAAATTACATCCCCAGGAACCAATAAAAGTTTAATTGGCGATGAACATTTACCCGCACGAATTAAAATGATTTCGCAGTAATATATGACCTAAATGTATTTATTTAGACTGATGACCCAGATCGAGTTGAGAAAGCTAAAGTGGAAGCTGAGAGAGTGAAAAAATTACAAAATTTATTCAAAGGAAAGAAATTCTTCCTAAATAGAGAGGTACCCAGGGAAACATTAGTATTCATTATCAGGTAAATCAGGAGAAAACTACAGGTAGTAAAATATTGTGAGTGGAAGGTTTAAAGGTTTTAAAAGGGAGAAACATTAACATGTACAATGAAAAATATAAACATGAGTCAAACCATGTACCAACAAGTTGATATTTGAGAATATGCATCATTCACAAAAGAAAATAAAGGAGTATTGTATCTAAGGTGTGTTTTGTGTATTTGTGACTGTTTTTGAGATGTGTAACTATGTACTCTATGTACTCTGTTATAGGAGCTTTGGAGGAGAAGTATCCTGGCATAAGTCTGTTGCTGTAGGAGCGACATTCCCAGAGTCTGACGAAACCATTACACACCAGATCGTGGACAGACCTCAGACAAAGAACCAATATCTCTCCCGGTAAGGAGTCATTGCATTATAACACCCGGACTGTAATTACATTTATTTATAGCAAAATAAAGTAGATTGTTCTGAGGTCAAGTGAGACAGGGAATAATTTTCTAGAAAAATAATATGTCTATGAATTACTGTATGTGTACATAAATTGATATATTCAAAATTTAGCACAGTCACTATAGGTATTGAGTGGTTGGCGTAATCTTGAATTAGTGATACACATTTGGGCCATGTATTGTTTTCAAGAACTACATAATACCACAGTAGGTGTTTGACTATCACTATGTGCCTTAATTTGTAACTTGATATTCTGTAGGTACTATGTACAACCACAGTACTAAGGTGTTTGACAGTGTGCCTTTATTTGTGCCCTGATTTTCTGTAGGTACTATGTACAACCACAGTGGGTGTTTGACAGTGTGAATGCTAATAGTCTGGTCCCAGTTGAGCACTACTTTCCAGGGGCAACCCTCCCTCCCCACTTGTCCCCATTTGTTGAGGAGGAGGAGGGGGATTACATACCCCCAGAGAGGCAGGCCATGATCAACAGACAGCTGGGTGTTCAGGAAGACTCCGGTAAGATATCAGTCAATGATTTGATAATCTAAACTAAGCTTGATCTAAAGATCAGAAATTGTCTGAATTTAAGCACATTTATTGAATAAAATCACTAAGGACTGGGAAACAGGCAAATCCTAAATAATAAATCTCCTTCAGGCTTTTATAATTGATTAAGACAAAGAATTGTACATGATAAAAAAAGTATATATTATGTACTAGTAACCGATGATGAAGATTCACAACGAAGAGTCAATTTATTTTAAAAGCAGTGGAGAATGACTCAGACGGAGAGTGTGAGGTAATTATGATTATGCATGGGATATTTATGACAAAAGTTTGTTGTATGGGTAAGTTAGTAGATACCAAGCATAAACAGATGGGCTTATACTTCCCCCAGTGTTTATGGGTAAAGGGTGTGCAATGGCCTAGAAATATATTTTAAAATGAGGGATAAAAGAGAATAATACGGAATAAATTCCATTTCTCTTTGCCCAGTATCATTTATAGTATTTTTACTTTCCCCTTGGAATGTCTCTACTTCTTTACAGACAAGCAAATTCTTTGTTTAGAGTTCACTATCCCTCTCGTTCATTAATCTTCAGTCATAATTTAATCTGCAGAATGTTCTAAGCTAAATGATGGGCTGACTTTTAGTAGACACTCACATGACTGAAAAAGTCAAGTATCCCGGGAAGAAATATGATATCCCACTCCTTCTGAACACTCTTATGTTTTCTTATCTGAGTCACCGTTCTTGGCCGAGAATCAGTTGCAGTGTCTGGCATTAGTAGATTCAACATTCCTATTGAGAAGTAAATATCCAATGTACTGGACAAAAGAACTCTTAGAATTGTCAGAATGGTAAAAAACTTGCAGTAAGTATTTCAGAGCCTTTTTTATGCCCTGTAATCAGAAATGTATCAGGGCAAATAGTTTTCAGTTTGTCTTGACCTTGGCCATAACTTTTGAATTGTTGGTGTTAGGGCTTCACATGTATCCATCGTGACAACACCTATCTTTTGGTACCAAAATTTTTGATCTCTTGACCTAAACTTTAGAGTTTGGCCTACTTTTAAAAAATTTTAACCTTGGTCATAACTTGTGAACGGTTAGTGCTAGGGATTTCATATTTCACATGAGTATAATTTTTCTTGGTTGAATAACTCTTCATATCTCCCTCACAATACAACAAGTGTTTAAATTTTCCAAACAGAATCTGAAGTCATCTTTTTAGTATTTTTTTTAAAATCTTAAATATAATGTTTATTTCACACTGCTACAGTTCAAACCTGGGACTAACAACATGTAATGTATGGACCTCTTGTAGGAGTTGAAGAGGATGAGGAGGCAAGTGAAGATGAAGAAAATGATGATGAAGAGGACCAGGAAGATGAGGAGGACGAAGAGGTCCAGGAAGATGAGGAGGACGAAGAGGACCAGGAAGATGAGGAGGAAGTTGAAGAAGAGATGGAAGAAAGTGAAGAGGAAGAAGTGCAAGGTACACACATACAAATCAAAGTACTGATATAGCACTGAAAGACAGGGTCAAATTAATAATGTACTTGATCTTATGTACTACATAACTGTTGTAGTTCTTTATAGGGTTTTGGTACTAATTCAAAAAAGAATTTGCTTTTCAAAAGTTTTCTTGAAACTAGGACTGATTGTTTTTTGGTTTTTTTTAAAATTAATATTATAAAATATTTTAGAAATGATACCAGATTTGGATCTGATTGATATATGGAGGGAAAATAACCCTGATATATCTAGATTTACATGGCATGGCCCGAAGAGCAAGCAGGCTAGATTAGATTACTTCTTAATCTCCGCTGATCTCCAACCTTGTACGATGAAATCCGACATCGGGTATGCGTACAAGTCTGATCACTCTTTTATTGAAATTTGCTTCAAGTTCACAAACCAAATTCGAGGAAGAGGCAGCTGGAAATTTAATAATAGTTTACTATATGTTCAGACCTATGTCCAAATTGTTAAAGAATGCATTTCAGAAACTATTTCTCAATATGATACAAATAATAGCTGTACAATTAGTGATCAATTACTTTGGGAAACTTTAAAATTAATGATAAGAGGCAAAACCATATCATATACCTCATTTAAGAAACGCAGTAGAGATAAAACAGAGGTAGGGCTTGAGAAAAAATTACAAAGTCTGTATGAAAAGCCCCTTTCAGAGGAAATTAAATTAGAAACCGTTAAAACAGAAAATGAGTTAAAGCAAATAAGAGAAGACAAAGTGAAAGGTATTGTTATCAGGGCAAAGGCAAAATGGAATGTAGAAGGGGAGAAAAGTACCAAATATTTCTGTAACCTGGAGAAACGAAATTATACAGAAAAAATCATCCCCAAAATTATAATTGATGACTTTGAAATCACACAACTTTCAGAAATTTTAAAGGCTCAGGAAATTTTTTATAAAGAGTTGTATACTGCTGGTGATCACATAATAACAAAAGAACATGATGAAATTTTTTTTGACAATAAAAATGAGTATATTGAAAAGCTTACAGAAGATGAAAAAAATGAACTAAAAGGACTAATCACAAAAGAGGAACTTCTTTTTGCATTACAAAATGCAAAAAACGGAAAATCACCGGGACTTGATGGTTTTACATATGAATTCTATAAATTCTTCTGGAAAGATATATATAAGTATTTACTTAACTCTATAAACTATGCATATGCTATAGATTCCCTGTCGGTTTCACAAAGACAGGGAGTGATAACCTGCCTTCCTAAAAGTGGCAAATCAAAACTGTATTTAAAGAATTGGCGACCGATATCTCTTCTTAATGTGGATTATAAGTTAACTTCTGCATGCATTGCAAACAGGGTTAAAAAATACATTTCAAAACTTGTAAGTCAAACACAGGTGGGTTTCATTAAAAACAGGTATATCGGAGAATGCACTCATCTTATTTATGATCTGATTCAAAAAACAGAAGAAGAAAATATTCCTGGCATACTTTTATTATTAGATTTTGAAAAAGCTTTTGATACCGTCAATTGGAACTTTATTTTTAAAACTTTAGAATTCTTCAACTTTAGGAGATCAATAATTAAATGGTTCAAACTACTCTATCACGATATATCTAGCTGTGTGCTTAACAATGGTCATTTTTCGTCTTTTTTTACAATAGGAAGAGGTGTAAGACAGGGGGACCCTCTTTCGCCTTATCTATTTATTCTAGTGGTAGAGCTCCTCAGCGCCTCCTTAAAAAACAATCCAGATATTAAGGGAATTAATATTAATGATTCAGAATATCTAGTCAGCCAATATGCAGACGATACCTCTCTAGCGCTCGCAGACGATGAAAAATCCCTTAATTTAGCATTAAAATGTATAAACTCCTTTGCTGCTTGCTCTGGACTAAAACCTAATTTTGAAAAAACACAGGCTTTATGGATTGGTGCAAAAAGGGGCTGTGGTCAAGAGATTAACACAAAAGAAAACATAATGTGGAACGATGATGGTAAATTTAAACTCTTAGGTATAACTTTTGAACTAAACAAACCTGATATTACTTATAATAATTATGAGGAAAAGTTGCAAGCGGTCAAAAAGCTTATTCATGATTGGTCTTTTAGAAACCTCACACTTATTGGAAAAGTTACAGTGCTCAAAACATTGGTTTTACCAATTCTTGTTCAACTTTTTACAGTTCTCCCGGACCCACCTGCAGATTTTTTAAAGAAACTTCAAAATATGTTTTTTGAATTCATATGGGAAGGCAAACCAGACAAGATCAAACGTACAGTTCTATATAATTCAACAGAAAACGGAGGGCTTAAGGTTCCTTATCTAGCATCCTTCTGTCAAGCTTTGAAAATATCATGGGTCAAGAAAGTACTTGACTCTTCTATCAATTCCCCATGGAAACTCTTGCTCTTGGACACGACACAAAAATTCGGAAATGAAAAAATGTGGTATTTCAGATACGAAGGTTTAGAAACCATTTCAAACAAATTTTATCCATTCTGGAAAAGTGTATTAATAGCTTGGGGAAAGGTTGGTCAAAACTCTACCACAGCCCCTTGTGAAATTTTAAGTCAACCACTATGGCTTAATAGTGATATCAAAGTAGGGAAAAAATATGTATTTAAACGAAAATGGATAGCCAATGGTATTTTTTTCATTAATGACTTAATCATGGAAAATGGCAATTTCATGAATTTCATCCAATTTAAAAATGCATACAATTTAAACATAAATTTCGTTGAATATAACGGACTATTATCAGCAATCCCTAAATATTGGAAGCAAACGATTAAACATCACCAAAAATTGAATGAAATTAAAAGTGAAAATATTTTGAAACTTCAAAAAAATATGAAAGTTACAAAACACTTTTATAAAAAGTTTGTTGAAAAGATAACAGAGTCCCCCTCAATGGCTTTAAAGAAATGGGAGGAAAAACTTTCAATACATATTAATGAAAATAAATGGAAAGACTCTTTTTCTTTACCCTATTTAATAACAAAGGACACAAAGCTTCGATGCTTTCAGTTTAAGCTTTTACATCAAATAATTTTTACAAATAGCAAACTTATGAAATGCAAATTAGCCGAAACAGAACTTTGTTCTTTTTGCCATGATACTATAGAAACAATTATTCATCTATTGTGCTTGTGTCCATATTCCGTTACTTTATGGTCTAATTTAAGAGATAAACTTCGAAATACATGTGGTTTAATTATTAAATTTACTGCTGAAGAAATCATATTTGGATATAAAAGTTCTAGTGAAACTGAATTCAGAACTTTAAACATAATCATTCTGGTTGCAAAGCAATATATAATGAATTGTAAATGGAAAAATATAACACCATCTTTTTATGCTTATTTGGAAGTACTTAGATATTATAGAACTATAGAGCTTTTTTCCTCCTTTTCTCTCTCTCATAAGAAAGCAGACATGATAAAGCAAAGTTGGGATTTTTTGAAAACATTTCTCAGTCAGTGAAGGTTTAAATGTTACGAAAAAAAAAAATGTTCAAATGGATCTCTTTTATCTGTCATATAGAATATTTGTTTTTATGCCATTCTATTGTAGTTCTGTAATGTTTGTATAAAAATGCATGTTATGACGGAAATAAAAATATGAATGACAAAAAAATATAAAATACTGCAATTAAAAAAACATAGTAAATACAAACAGGCAAACAGGCATATCATATACACAGAGAGAGAGATAATGTCAGTTGCCCCTTTGCTTTACCAGTAACCAATCATGGTTAATTTCTTTCATGCAGAAAAGAAACAAGGAAAGAATAAAAGAAAACTTGATGAGACCCCAGGAGCTGATAATGCTAAGGTGAGATATGAATTAACTGAAGGATCAGTCAGTCAAGATTCAAGAAATTATACCTCAGTTGTTTTTAGGACATCATTACTGATAGTGTGGTCGTTGACCAAAAAATAACTTAAGCAAAACTTTTATGTCATAAAAAATGCTGTTTTGCAGCAACTGTAATATTAACATTTCCTTTGTTAATACTACCTGATAGCTTTGCTGTTTGACATGCTATGTAAAACAAGTATAAGCATGCAAAAACTACTAGTATATGTGTGAAAATGCTGCAAACTTTTCCTAATAGTATGATATATTAGGAGTAAGAACATCAAGGTAAAAAAAAGTTTCTATATTTGTCATACAAGAATTTTTTCAGAAGAAAAAAACACAACTTAGCTCCTGTACAATCTTGTTAATTGACAAGGGAATGTTTTACTTGTCAGAAGCTGAATATGTCAGTAGAGGCAGGTGCCCCAGAGAACATCAATGTGGAACAGAAACTGCAGCGGCAAACAATGGAGGAGAGAAGACTAGCCGAAATGATGATCCCTAAGAAAAAGAAACGTCTGTATGACAAAATCATGTACGCCAAAAAGAAGAAAAATCAGGAGGTGAGAATCTCCCACAATCAGTCAGTCCAATTACTTCTCCTCAGTTACGCAAGATTTCCAAAAATAGATTGCCTCTCTTCTATAGGTAAAGAGATTTAAACTTTATATATTTCTAATTCCAGACAAGAAAACTGAAGGAAAAACGTGAGGCAATTGAAGAACAGAGGAAGGCTGGCAGTAAGAAAAAGAAGAAAGTGTAATTGCTTCAGAACAATGTAGGGAGGGGTATATTATGAATAATAAATGTCACACACAAATAATTTGTCTTTATTTATGAATAGAAATATGAGGAAATTGCACAAAGTTTCAATTCGTAAAAATGAGTAAGTTAAGCATATGCTATAAAAACTGCATCTTAGATACTACCGTAAATCTGGAAATTTTTGCGTTGATTTATTTTTGCGAATCTGGTTCAAAACGCTGTTGATTAACTTTTACGTTTCAAAATTTTGCGAATTGACATTGGTGCTAAAATTAAAAAGCGCTTAAAATTTTCATAGCAGTTTATAAGTTACGCATGTAGTACATACAATAAATTACGCATGTACATGCAATATTGAACGATCCCAACATTTAATAATCGGATTATAAATTACGCATGTACTTACAATAAATTACATATGTACGTACAATAATAAACAATGCCAATGTTCAATAATCACATAAACAAATTAGAATTTAAGAGATAAAACATCTAAACTATTTAAAATTTTCATAACAATTTTAGAGATAAAACATCTAAACTATTTAAAATTTTCATAACATTTTAATAAATCACGCATGTACAAAAAATATATAAAACCGTGTCAGCTTTAACTAACCTTCAGATAAAAACATTTGTTCTTAGATAAAACAACTGGCCTCTCTGAGAGAAATAATTTAAAAGAGATATACTGCCTATCAAACCATCGGACGATGTTGAATGTAGTAAAGGCAGTCTTACGCACGGATTGTACGGGTAATTAGCTTATAGTATAAACAGATTTCTTAAAATGACCACTGCTTACGAAACTTGTTCATCTTGAAAAGTAGCAAAAAAAAATTGTTTTCATTTTTTGTTGTTTATTTATTTTTAAGAAATATATTTTTGCGAATGCAATGCACGCGCAAATTTGCTAAAAATTTATCTACAGCAAAAATTTTCAGATTTACGGTATTTGTACTCACAGTAGATTGTATATCCATGTATCAATTCATTATTATTGTAGCAGCCCATTGAAACATCATCTTGCCCAGATATTGTAAAAACAATACTACAGGGAAGGTGATAATTTCAAAACATGCATATATATACACAAAATCTCAATTGCTAATTTCAGTATATCATACAAAATGTATTTGTACCCTCTACTGTTCAAAACTTTTGCAATTCTAAAGTTCTACATGTTACGATCAAAATCCTGCGTTTGCATTTTTTTTCTGAGCATTTTTCAGTAAAAATTGGACAGGTCAGGTGCAATAAAATTGCAGCTTTTGGTAGATTAATGAAAATATTAGAAAATGACATTTTACTTCAGTATTTGCATAATGAACAGGAAGGATTGCATTTCACTTTGTGTAATTCTGGTCTTTGTTCAGGTTGTAGACTGGTGAAATACCCGAGTCTGCGATTTTTTGTCCATACACTGTTTTGAACAGCTCATCCTGTGCTACGGTTTCTGATCTTCGTTTAGGGTGTATACAGGTGTGATACCAAAGTCCGCCATTTTTTGTTCGTACATTGCTGTAAACAGCTCATCCTGTGCTATGTGCTCTGATATTCGTGTAGGGTGTACACTGGTGTGATTCCAGATTCTGCCATTTTTTGTTCGTACACTGCAGTGAACATTTCATTCTGTGCTACCGTGAACCAATTTCTCCAATCTCCCACGTGTCCTACAACACAAAATGAACGTTAGTTTGGTCGCCATATATTGCCAAAAGGTCGTTATGACAGCATGTCACATGACCACGTCAAGGTCAGGTCATCCTTACATTCAATAGTTCATGATTTATTATTTGATCTATTTCTGTCTGTACCAAATAGGGCAATGTCATTGACGAAAAAAAAAAAACAGGAACGCTTTCCCATAAATGGCCTGGATTGTTTTACATACTAGAAGATTCTAGGATAAACTGATGAAGTGTATATATAAGCATATACTGAAAATTGTAGGTTTTTTTAAGTTGTTTAAGATCCACAGTAATCTTATAAATCTAAAAATAAATATAAAACCAAAGCAGATCCGTAGCAATAGCAACGGTTTTAAAAGTGGAAGGGGGGCAACTTCCCAAAAAAAATCTTACAAGCAAAACAAACAAAACCTAAACAGTCCAAAAAGTGGGGAACCGACTTCCCAAAATAATCTGACAAGAAAAAAAAAAAGAAAGAAAGAAAAAAGTCCTTAACACTTTCCAAATCCTGGAATTTTCCGGTACTCAACCCGACAGCAACAAAAATGGGGGGGGGGGGGGGCTAACCAGTACATAAATGAAAATTTATTATATAGCAAAATACTAAACTCGGAAAAAAAGTGCCCCCCCCCCCCGCGTTCTACGGGCGCACAAAGTTTTACTAGACCAATTTGAGAATAAGAGAAGTTTAACAAGTTTAATACTAATACTGGAGTAAAGATTAAACGTGTTGAAAAATTTTCATGTAGTCCGCAAAGCTGCAAAAGATCAAGAGTAAAAATTGTCCCGAATTCGAAAAGTGGAGACAAGGTTACGTTTTCCTGTAGCACGGGGTCAAGAATGTAAAACTAAATTCTACTATATTTTATAAAATCTCCTTTAGAACTTCAAAGTCTTGTATCCGTGAACTCTCATGGACTTCAATAGACGATTTTATTTCGGATCTAAAGATCGATGATTTAATTTTTTTTTAATTTTCAAGCCAAGTAGTACTAATTTACCCATTTCACCTTCACTGACTGATTCCATCACTGTAACATTTCCCTTCTTTACCTTTTTGGTACATTCCCGGCTCTCTGTCTCTATAGTGTCTTCCATTTCTTACCTTTTCGGTATACATTCCTGGCTCTCCGTCTGTATATTCTGTAGTGTCCCCCATTTCTTAGCTTTTTGGTACATTCCTGACTCTCCGTCTGTTTATTCTATAGTGTCCTCCATTCCGTACTTTTCCGGTACATTCCTGGCTCTCCGTTTGTATATTCTTTAGTAACCCCCATTTCTTACCTTTTTGGTACATTCCTGGCTCTCCGTCTGTATATTCTGTAGTGTACTTCGTTTCTTACCTTTTCGGTACATTCCTGGCTCTCCGTCTACAGTCCCCCATTTCTAACCTTTTAGGTACATTCCTGGCTCTCCGTCTACAGTCCCCCATTTCTTACCTTTTTGGTACATTCCTGACTCTTCGTGTGTATTTTCTGTAGTGTCCTCCATTTCTTACCTTTTTGGTACATTCCTGGCTCTCCGTCTGTATATTCTGTAGTGTCCTCCATTTCTTACCTTTTCGGTACATTCCTAACTATCCGTCTGTATATTCTGTAGTGTCCCCCATTTCTTACCTTTTCGGTACATTCCTGGCTCTCCGTCTGTATATTCTGTAGTGTACTTCATTTCTTACCTTTTCGGTACATTCCTGCATGGCTCTCCGTCTACAGTCCCCCATTTCTTACCTTTTTGGTACATTTCTGACTCTTCGTGTGTATTTTCTGTAGTGTCCTCCATTTCTTACCTTTTCGGTACGTTCCTGGCTCTCCGTCTGTATATTCTGTAGTGTCCTCCATTTCTTACCTTTTCGGTACATTCCTGACTCTCCGTCTGTATATTTTGTAGTGTCTTCCATTTCTTACCTTTTGGGTACCTTCCAGACTCTCCGTCTCTATATTCAGTAGTGCCCCACCCCATTTCTTACCTTTTCGGTACATTCCTGGCTCTCCGTCTTTCCATTCCGTAATGTCTTCTAAAGGATCCTTTTCTTTTTTCATCACCCTGAAAGAACACTGAGCAGAAATGTCATGTGACAGGTCGCTACTGCAACTGACTCCTAGAAATTCTGCCAAGCTCTTGATCTCATGTTCAGGGCACTGAAAAGGCCAATCACAAAACATTGTAGAAGACCAGAGTTTAACACTTACAAGTTTATAGAATGTATCTCCAAGTATTCCATCTATATTCCGAGAGAAAGAAACAATTCGCTTTATTCATATGCATGAATACAGTTTACAGTTCACCTGAACCATTAGTCGAGGTAATTTTCCAGTTATTCTTGCATACAATACAACGTCTCAAAATAATTATCTGCCAGATATTTTCACTTGTCACAATTATCAGTTAGGTCTTTTAATCTCCCCTCCTTACCCATAAAAAATACCATATTAGCAAAATCCAAGTCCCAGACTGAGTATTTTTGCTGTCAAGATCGTTATGTATCATTGACTTAAACTTTAGACAAATGAATTCCAAATTTACATGATAATACAAAATTTTGGGATAAGCAGTTTCTGCCAATGGAATATTTTAGCAAGGCAATTTTATTACATATGAAAAAAGACAAATATGAGAGGGTTGTTTCGATTGTTTTCACAAGCGGGTCTTTTGTAAAAAAAATTTCAGCGACAGTGTTGTGAACTTTAAAGTATCGAACACTTCTGCTATGAGGTTTATAGTGCTAGAGTTAAGATGTTTTACCTTATGCAGACTTTCATATGTGAGGGTGTGGAAGGGAAGGTCTGCAAACGCCTTCATTGATTTTTCCCAGTGAAGGACGTAGTCGAACCAGGATCCGTAATCGACTGAAAGCAAAATAAGGTCAGCGTGCACTCTCAATCA